CTAAAATAGAGATCTTAAGACTGATGAAACACTTTTTGTAGCAATAAAACACCAAATTTCAGCCTGACTCTAGTATAGCATCACATAACGGATAGTGGGCCTTGAAAGAATTCAAAGTATTTTACCCCAAAATATATTACTTTGACGGAGGATACTAGAGAAGTACATTTAATTTTGGTATCTTTTAACTTAGCAAATACCTGCCTAATTTGATAATCAGTTTTGTCTATAACATGATTTCCCTAAGGGCAGGCCCCATGTCTTTTGTAGTACTTCCACAATACCACCACACTGGTAGACATCAAGTGGACACTCAATACTTTTTTTTTTTTTTCCTGAGACAGAGTTTCGCTCTTGTTGCCCAGGCTGGAGTGCAATGGCACCATCTCGGCTCACCACAACTTCTGCCTCCTGGGTTCAAGCGACTCTCCTGCCTCAGCCTCCTGAGCAGCTGGGATTATAGGCATGCACCACCATGCCTGGCTAATTTTGTATTTTTAGTAGAGACAGGGTTTCTCCATGTTGGTCAGGCTGATCCCAACCTCAGGTGATCCACCTGCCTTGGCCTCTCAAAGTGTTGGGGATTACAGGCGTGAGCCACCATGCCCAGCCAATACTTTCTAATCTATTGAAAGCTTTTCTCCCTTACTTAAATGCCCTTAGGTTTTCATTACATACAAATTAAAAACTCTCTTGCCTAGTTTCCAAAGCACGCTTCAGTCTCCCCAGAACTCACCTGACCTGTCTTATTTCCCACTGCTTCTCTACATATATGCCAAACCAGTTTTATTCTTGCCTCTGAACACACCTTTGTTTTCTTGTTCATCATGGTTTTACTCACTTGGAAAAATATCCTTTTCCCCCCATATTAAAATCATACCCATCACTGAAATCAAGCTCAGATTTCACCACTTTTTAAAAGTCTTCTCTATCAATATCTACCTGAATAGGTCATTCCAAGTCTCTGGTCCATCCCCTCATGGGCATGGCAATAAGTGGGGTACACAGTTGGCTGAGGCAAAATGAATATAAGTAGAGTTAATTTGGGCCAAGCTTGAAGATTGCAACCAAGAAGCATAGGTTCAAGCTGCCTTGAATATATGCACTGATTAGCAGCCATCTTCAAGCAAACACTGCCTAGGGATGCTTATTCTACGGAAATTTGGAACTTTTATTCAAATCTTTGTGAATATATTACTCCTCCAACTTGCCAGTAAACCCCTTGAAACTTACGACTTGATTGCATGCAATAACCCTTAATACCTTAGATATCTCAGAACCTCCCAAGTTTATGACGTTCACTGCAGCATGATTTATTCCATAAAATGTAGTAAGGTGCCCAGGAGTAGGTGGCTTATGCCTGTAATCCCAACAGTTTGGGAGGCCAAGGTGGGCAGATCATTTCAGGTCAGGAGTTCGAGACCAGCCTGGCCAACGTGGTGAAACCCCGTTTCTACTAAAAATACAAAAGTTAGCTGGATGATAGTGGTGCACACCTATATTCCCAGCTACTCGTGAGGCTGAGGCAGGAGAATCACTTGATCCTGGGACGCGGAGGTTGCAGTGAGTGGAGATTGAGCCACTGTACTCCAATCTGGGTGACACAGTGAGACCCTGTCTCAAAAAAAAAAAAAAAAAAAAAGGACAGTTCAAATTCAAAATAAGTCTTTTATATACAATAATTTTTAAAAATTGTTAACCTCAATCCATTTAACTACATCTTAGAAGGAAATCAAATCAACAAATATTTGTCTAGCTGATCATATACCCAGCATTCTGGTAGGTACTGCAGAAAATAAGATGATATAGAGTACTCTTGTGACAGACAGAATATAGAAATGGACAATGACCAGAGCATATGTAAAAATGGAACTCTGACCTACAACCTCTCCAGGAACTACTCCAGAAAGACAAAAGCTATTTCTGCATTAATCAACCCAGGACTTGATCAACTGCCAGTTTCCTTAGTTTTTGTCCTGTTTCCAATTTAGGACCAACCAGAGAAAGCCAAATATGTATCCCCAACTGACCACATAGGATGCCGCGCTTCCACTTAACCTGCCTCCAGCCAACAACATCAAATCAGGGCATACCTGAAGTCTTTCCTTTTTTCTCGTTATAAAACTTTCACACTCTCCTGCCTGCCTTCCAATCTCTGACAAACACGAGTGATGGTGGCTGACTGCTTTGCCACAGCAAGCTTTGAATAAATATCCTTTGCTTGTATTCATATGAGTGTTCTCCATTTATTTCTGCTCTTGGAATTACAGAATTATTATAGGTGGTTTCAATTATTAATTTATACCCCCAAAGACTCAAGACACAGTCATTTATAATTTTACTAGGGCTGGAATTTGAATTGTACTATTTGAGACTGATATATGGCAGTTAGTGACTGCCCTGTACACACATACAACTTTGCTTTTATATTCATACTGTGACACATGTACCTTACTGGGGAAATTATATTCTCTAGAGTATATTTTGGGGGATTTTTGTTTTTGTTATTTTTATTTTTTGAGATGGAGTCTCGCTCAGTCGCCCAGGCTGGAGTGCAGTGGTGTGATCGTGGCTCACTGCAAGCTCCGCCTCCTGGGTTCACACCATTCTCCTGCCTCGGCCTCCCAAGTACTGGGACTACAAGTGCCCACCACTACTCCTGGCTAATTTTTTTGTATTTTCAGTAGAGACAGGGTTTCACCATGTTAGCCAGGTTGGTCTCGAACTCCTGACCTCGTGATCTGCCCGTCTCAGCCTCCCAAAGTGCTGGGAATACAGGCGTGAGCCACCGTGCCCGGCCTGGGGGATTATTTTTGAAGCTATCAGACTTAATACCTATGTATCTTAAGGGTCTACTATTGAGAAATTTCAAAAGAGTGATCGACTTTGAAGAGTAGAAAGGAAATTAATAAAAGATCAAGCCTGTGGGACTTAGAAAAAATAGTGCTACTCTGTTGACCTAAAAGGAAGAAGCTGAAGCAAAATTAATATAAGTAGAGTTAATTTGGGCCAAGCTTGAAGATTGCAACCTAGGAGCATAGATTCAAGTTACCTTGAATATACACACCGATTAGCAGCCATCACAAGTGAATCTTATTTATTTATTTATTTATTTAGAGACAGAGTCTCGCTCTGTTGCCCAGGCTGGAGTCAATGGCATCATCTTGGCTCACAGCCACCTCCACCCCCAGGTTCAAGTGATTCTCCTGCCTCAGCCTCCTGAGTAGCTGGGATTATAGGTGCGTGCCACCACGCCTGGCTAATTTTTGTAGAGACGGGGTTTCACCATGTTAGTTAGGCTGGTCTTGAACTCCTGATCTCGTGATCTGCCTGCCTCAGCCTCCCAAAGTGCTGGGATTACAGGTGTGAGCCACTGTGCCCGGCCCACAGGTGAATCTTTAAAGGCAAAAAAGGGAACAAGGAGTGAACTGATACAACGTTGTGTACAGAAATTCTTATTGGTTTATGGAAATAACATTTATTAGTGATTGGTTACATTGTTAAGCTATAGGATGTAGGTTATAGTGTCTGATGCGACATTAGGTTAATTTATAGCTACTTGTGGCATAAGCAAGCAGTTTCAGGAGACGAATACCTAGCTCAAGGGAGAAGTAGGATGTGATTGTTGTCTCCTTTTAATGTCCCTCTGGGTCTGACAGTTTAAAATAACCACATTCCTTAGATAAAAATAATTTTCTTTTCTCACTCTAAATGACAGAAATGGAGACTTTGGAAAGGAATTAAGTATAAGGAAAAGATCAAGAGACAGCAGGATGTTCAAGTTCATTGAACAAACATTGACTGGCAGCTAGAGAATAGTAGGCACTATTCTAGATGCTGAGGATAATAGTGAAGAACAAAACAGAACAAAATCCTTGCTCTTGTGGAACTTACATTTGAAATTACACAGTTGAAGATTTAGCCTTGGGTAAGACATAGACATAAGGACAAAAAAAGGAATGCCTGAGATGCTCAGGATGGTGCCAAAGCACAGAAACACACTAGGGCCTATGTTACAGCAGTCCCATGGAATTTCCCTTAAATAACCCAGGGAAAAGATATTAATGGAAGTTAAACTAGGTTTTGAGACTAGCTGAAGACAGTCTGCCAGAATTACTTTATCCGTTACAAGAATATCCACAGCTTGTCCTTTAACAGATGGTCTGGAAACAGGTGGTAATAATGGTAACTTACACAGTACTATCATTTACAATATTTTAATTCAGAAGCTCATATTTATAGAAGAAACTGAGGCACAGTAGAGAGTAGAATAATTCTCAAGATTACATAACAAATTGTAGTCAGATTAAGAATTGGTATCTAGCTTTCCTGACTCTTAAGATTCTGAGAGATATTTATAATGCTATTATTTTTTCAGACTATACATCAAATAGTAGCATAAAGAATTCTTAGGCGTCTTACGGGCTGATACCCTAAAGAATGCTAACGAAATAAAAAAAGAGACTGGTGCTGGAATAATATGATTAATGTCTGCAACGAAATTTCCCCTAAGTAGTCATACCAAGTAGTTGGTTAAGGTTTTTTTTTTTTTTTTTTGCTTGCACAATACGTTTCTGAATGATTTATTAGAGGTGTTTGATGCTTATAGTTTATTTGAAACTGATTCGATCAATTAAAATGCTCATTGGCATTGTTTTATTAGTCGCTAGAATATGCATTCAACTTCACTGAAACAAGACTTAAAAGGTAAGAGGTACACTAAATCGTGACTATAAGAGTAAGAGAACTTAATTTCTTCACACCATCTGAACAAGATGTTAAATTACAGAACCCTTTAGTCTTGTTTTTGTCTTCTAGATAGAAATCAGGATGCTGGACAAACCTTTCCCATGGAATAGTCAAAATATTTAAGGAACAAGTCTATATACAGTTTAATAATCGCCAACATTTGGCAGGGCGTGGTGGCTCACGCCTATAATCCCAGCACTTCGGGAGCTCGAGGCGGGCGGATCACTTAAAACCAGGAGCAGGAGACCAGCTTGGCCAACATGGCGAAACCCCGTCTCTACTGAAAAATATAAAAATTAGCCTGGCATTGGTGGCTTGCGCCTCTAGTCCCGGATACATTGGAAGCTGAGGCTGGAGAATCGCTTGACCCCGGGAAGCAGAGGTTGCAGTGAGCTGTGATTGTGCCACTGCACTTCAGCCTGGGTGGCAGAGTGAGACACTGTCTCAAAACAAACAAACAAAAAATTGCTAACATTTGTGAGGTTCTTATTATGTGCCATGAATGGATCTAAGCCCTTCACATTTGTAAACTCATGCAATCCTGGCATATACACAAAAAACAAATGTGGCAGGTACTATCATCATGTCCATTTTGTAGATAAAGAAACCGAGGGCCAGAGAAGTTGAAGTAGCTTGCCCTAGGATGTAGTTTGTAACTCCTAGAGCTGAGATCTTGTTTATATACAAAAGGTTTCAAGAATCAAAAGTACTCTAAGCCACTTTGCGTTTCGGCTGTCGAGAAAGGGATATCCAAAGTTTCAGGTTCGCAGTTTGTGAAACGGAGCTGCCAGCTTTCGTTCTAAGGCGGGCGGAGGTTTGGCACTCCCTCGTCCAACGCTCTGCCCCAGACACCCACTCTCGCTTTCCTCTTCTTCCTCCACCTCGCCCTACTTCCCTTCTTCCTATCTTCGCTCTTCTTTCGCCTCGCCGCCGTGTATCCTCGCTCGCTGCCGAGTGCCTCGCATTACTTCCCTAGCCTCTGCCACGCCACGCTGGATACGCGCCCACGCGCAGTCCGCCGTCGCGCCTCTATGACGTGTCGCCGCTTTCGGCTGGGGGGGGGCCGAGGCTGCGCGGAGGGCAAGCCGGGGGCGGGGCCGGGGCCAGAGCAGAACCCCGGGTCTCCGCGGCCATCGCTGACTGAGCTGTCCCTTCCCCTCACCCGCTCCACGCCCTCCTGGGCCGAGTGGAGTTGGGTGGTGTCAGCAGCCTCTCCCTGAGGGGCACCGCGGCTTCAGGAGCTGGGCCTCCAGTGCGGCGCGATGTCAGGCGCCGTGACAGCTCTGTGAGTCCGAGGCCGCGGCCGTGGCGCTGGGCGGCTGCGGGGCCTGGCCGGTCCGCTCATGGTGCCGCCACGACGCCATCGCGGGGCAGGAAGGCCAGGTAGGCAGGCAGGGAAGGGCCCCGACATCACCGGAGCCCAAACCGGGACGGAGTGCCCACCAACAGCACCACCTCCTGCCCTTGGTGGCAGCCGGAGCGCCTTGACCGAAACCGTGACGGTCTCCAGGGGCGGAGGGACGGGAGCTGACAGGGGCGCCCGAGCCCTGCGCCCACCCCTGGCAATTGAGGAAGCCGTGCGTGCGCCCTCGCCTCGGCTCGCCGGGGAGGCGTCACTGCCTGAACTGTCTTCCCCGCTCCAAAACAGGAGGAGGATTCCTTTTCCCAGCTGTTTCTTTTGAAATGACTGGATGTTTTGACAGAGGTGGGTGGAGGAGCGTGGAGAATCCTTTTCTTTTACCACTTGAGGATATTGGAGAGGTGCCTTCAAGATCCACAACAAATCACTTACTCTAGGATAACCAAATTCCACTCCAGGAGATCGGGGACAGAAAAGACACTTTTAGAAACAGTGTCTAGACACTGTCCCCGGGGATGGATTCCTCTGGGTGGAGAGGCGAATGGAGTTCTGTGTTTGTGAAACTCAGAGAAGCTATTTTCTAGTAGTTAACTATTCTTAAATGTGCCGTATATTGTATATTACTCCCCGTCGCTGCCCGCCGGGTATCGCGTATCTCTCTAAGGATAATCTGAAGCGTACAGTGGATACCATGAAAGTACTGAGAAAGGTGGCAAGTATGTTTAACACATTTTGGTCCTTTTCTTTGATTTGCTTTCAGTTTGAAGGTGAAGAGTAAAAAACGATGTGATGAATCTTACCTTGAGTTACTGACGTTTTCATAGCATAATTTCATGGTTGTTTTTAGGGGTGCTGAGTTCTTCACCTTTCAGACTGAGATCTGCCAAGTTTTCCGGCATTGCTCTTGAGGATCTCAGAAAGGCTCTTAAGACCAGGTAGGTTCCACATGCTTATCCACTATGTAACCTTCACACTGAACATTAGCTAACACATGTCAGATGTTTCTGTTATACTGATTTTCTGATTTTTAATGGTTATTTTTCTAAAATCATCTCTAATGTGATCTGCATTTTCTAAAAAAACAGACTGCAAATGGTGTGTGTGTTTATCATGAACCGAATGAATTCCCAGAACAGTGGTTTCACTCAGCGCAGGCGAATGGCTCTTGGGATTGTTATTCTGCTGCTTGTTGATGTGATATGGGTTGCTTCCTCCGAACTTACTTCGGTACGTACCTTTGGTCCAGGAATGATGTTACATTACAGCCACGATGTTACTGTTAACCTGTAGTAACTCTAGCCATTACAATCTCCTGCTTTCTCAAAGCAGTATCTTAAATACTATCGAATTTTAAAAAAATATCGAATGATTGCCACTTGAAGTTAAAACTGAAAGGATGATCTTTTTTATTGTTTCATACGGTTTTCTTGCATCTTTTAGGGAGGGTTACTTAGAGAGACTATGCATATTTTCTTATATTTGAAAGTGTTACTTTTGGCTTTTTTTCTAAATTCAAATTCTTTCTGTGAATACAATTTTCTAGTGAAATAACTATCAGGATGCAAAACAATGTCACCATTTACTAGAAAGTTCAGCGTGCTTTTGGACAAATGAGTAAAAATAATGAGTTTTCATGTGTAGGTCACTGTTATGCCCATGAGTGGTTGCATCCACATTTATGCTTGCTGACTCAAACCTTATTATGAGGTGCTTGGTATACCTCATAATTTTCCTTCAGTTAAGTTGTATCTTTACAATTTCCTTCAGTTAAATTGTATCTTTATTGATGACCTATTGGTAGTAATGTGGCATTTTGAATTTGCAAGCTAGTTTTTCTTTCTACTTCTATACTTTATTCTGCTTGGTTAATGATCCCTATAAAAAGCAACTTTTATTTTCAGAAGTCTGCATTTTAACTTCTATGTTGCAATTTTAAGGCGAATATACAGCAGGAAACTGGCGTTTATAAAATGAATTTAACTTTCAAAAGAAGCAGTTTAACACTCAGGTCTTCTCATATTGTAGCTAAGTAAATATTGACATTGGCATTGTATTCTATGAGTATATAAGTTTTTTTTTTTTTGAGATGGAATCTTGCTCTGTTGCCCAGGCTGGAGTGCAATGGCGTAATCTCGGCTCACTGCAACCTCCGCCTCCCGAGTTCAAGCGATTCTCCTGCCCCAACCCCCTGAATAGCTGGGATTACAGGCGTGCCCCACCACGCCAGGCTAATTTTTGTATTTTTAGTAGAGACGGGGTTTCACCATGTTGGTCAGTCTGGTCTCAAACTCCTGACCTCGTGATCTGCCCGCCTTGGCCTCCCAAAGTGCTGGGATTACAGGTGTGAGCCACCGCACCTGGCCAAGTATATAAGTTTTTATACTTTTCAGAGTTAGTCTCTGGAATCTAATAGGCCATATATTTTTCGCTTTAAAACTCTTCTATAACTTTCTTTTAGATGAACATTTTGTACTTTTACCTCAAAGAAATGTCTTTGATATTGACAGGGAACTAAATCTATCTTTTAAATTTTATTTTCATTTAAAATAAATAGTTTGTTTTTATTTATCAGTTAATAAAATTTAGGACCAAATAGCACCTGGTTAAGTTATAATTTAACCATATCTAAGCAAAGTAGAAAAGAAAAAATGTGTTGTTTGTGGTAATCATTTCACAATGTATACATATATCAAAACACCACGTTGTAAAAAGTACATATATTTGGTATTTGTCAGTTGTACTTTAATGAAACTGGAGGAAAAAACTCAACTTATCTTTATTGTTTTAAAGTAAAATATTTTAGTAAGAGGATATTTTATAATCTCATTATTCAAGAGTATATGTAATGTCTCTACTTCTTCAACCAGATATGCTCATTAAACTTTGGAGATAGGGCCGGGCGTGGTGGCTCATGACTGTAATCCCAACACTTAGGGAGGATGAGGTGGGTGGATCACCTGAGGTTAGGAGTTTGAGACCAGCCTGGTCAACATGGTAAAACCCAGTCTCTACTAAAAATACAAAACTTAGCTGGGTGTGGTGGTGGGTGCCTGTAATCCCCGTTTCTCAGGAGGCTGAGGCAGAAGAATCGCTTGAACCTGGGAGGCAGAGGTTGCAGTGAGCCGAGATCACGCCATTGCACTCCAGCTTGGGCAACAAAAGTGAAACTCCTTCTCAAAAAAGAAAAAGAAAAAGCAAACTTTGGAGATAAAGTGTGTATTTCAAAAATAAAATCAATCTTTTTATTATGGACATTTTCTAACGTATACAAAGTAGAATATTATAATGAATCTTTGTGTTCATTACTTACCTTTAGCAGTTAACCAAATTTGCCAACCTTATCAACCTCTCCTCAAAACTGTTTTTCCTGGAGCATTTTAAAGCATATTTTAAAGCATATGTCACATGTCATTTCAGCCACAATTTCTTTCCTATATACTTGAAACTGAAAAGGACTTTTAATTTTCTTAAACATAATCACTATGCCATTAACATAGTTAACAAAATTAACTGTAATTCCTTAAGATCATCTGACATCCAGTTCATTATTCAGTTTTCTCCAGTCCAGTTTTCTGCAGTGGTGTCAAGGACTTTTTTTTCCCGTTAAGTTTGTTAGGATCTAAACAAAGATCACGCGTTGCATTTGTGATATCTTTTAAGTCACTTTATTCCTTAACTGTATCTTCCCTCCTTTTTTTTTTTTTTCATATCATTAATTTGTTGGAGAAACTGGGTCATTTTTCCTATTGGGTGTATCACACATTCTGGATTTAGCTGATTGTTTCCTTGGGGTATCATTTAACTTGTTATTTTTCTCTTTATTTCTTGAAAAGTGGTAGTTAGGTATAAAGTCGATTTGGGTTTAGTTTTCAGGAAAGAATACTTTGGGGGTACTGAGTACTTCCTGTAACATTCCAGCATGAGATTAATGACTGCAAGTCTCAATTTAGATGATGCCATTTAAGTACTATAAAGTTCCTCATCGCCTTTTAGGTAATAGTTGAATATCCACGTTTAAGTTGCCTAGATAAAGTATTTCATTAGGGGTTGCAAAATGGTGATTTTTTTTTTTGAGTTATTCCCTCTGTATTTATTAGCTGGAATTCTTTAAGTCTTTTTAATATGGCCTTATTAATCTTTTTTTTTTTTTTTTGAGATGGAGTTTTGCTCTTGTCACCTAGGCTGGAGTGCAATGGTGCGATCTTGGCTCACTGCAACCTCTGCCTCCCAGGTTCAAGCAATTCTCCTGCCTCAGCCTTCCGAGTAGCTGGGATTATAGGCACCTGCCACCATGCCCAGCTAATTTTTGTATTTTTAGTAGAGACTGGGTTTCACCATGTTGGCCAGGCTGGTCTTGAACTCCTGACTTCAAATGATCTACCCACCTTGGCTTCCTAAAGTGCTGGGATTATAGGTGTGAGCCACTGTGCCTGGCTAGAGCCATTGTTTCTTTTAGTGTCAAATGGCGTGGACCACCGTTTACGTCCTAGAGTTGCACTTTCCTCCTGGATTGTCATTTTTTTCTATGCCTTTTTAGTGGCTATAACTAGGAATTTTCTTAGGATATAAAAAATTGTGAGTTTATATTCACGATACACTAAAAACAAACAAACAGAAAACACCAGCCTCCCTTGGGAAACGTCCATAACATTGAAATTTGTCAGTTTCCTTTTGGTGCTCCCATGGCATCCTGAACCCCTCTCTTGTTACTTGGCACATTATGCTTATTGTCTTCATATATATGTCTCCTCTATTAGATGTTAAGCTCCCCAAGGGCAGGATAACTTCCCTTATTTCTCTCTTTTTTTTCTTTATGAAATAGGGTCTTGCTCTGTTGCCCAGGCTGGAGTGCAGTGCCTTGATCATGGCTCACTGCAGCCTCAACCTTTGTGAACTCAAGGGATCCTCCTGCTTCAGCCTCCCAAGTAGCTGGGACTACAGGCGCATGCCACCACGCCTGGCTAATTTTTCTATTTTGTTGCAGAGACAGAGTTTTGCCATGTTGCCCAGGCTGGTCTTGAAATTCTGGACTCAAGCTCTCCGCCTGTCTTGGTCTCCCCAAGTGCTGGGATTATTGGCGTGAGCCACCACGCCTGGCCCTGTCTTATTTTTCTTTAGCTCCTAGTATAGGCACTGTTTCATAGTAGGTTTCGATGAATGTTAAACTAAACTTATTTTAGCAGGTTGTTGCTGCTTTGTTTGGTGATATCCTTTTGTATGCAAGGTAAATACAGTATTCAGAAATGAATCTAAAATATTTTTGTAATCCCTTTGACTTCTTCTTTCCAAGTGAACTTCTGAAGAGTTAAAAATCATGTAGTGACTTTATTTTGGAGATGAGTAATAAGGTTTAAGATCATCTCAAAGTTGTCTGTGTAACTTTTTCCTCTGCAGTATGTTTTTACCCAGTACAACAAACCATTCTTCAGCACCTTTGCAAAAACATCTATGTTTGTTTTGTACCTTTTGGGCTTTATTATTTGGAAGCCATGGAGACAACAGTGTACAAGAGGACTTCGCGGAAAGCATGCTGCTTTTGTAAGTTTTTAATTTTAAGTGTCTGTTGGGAAGGGGGTATATGTATATTTTTTCAAAGTTTAAAGATGTATGAGTTTCTTTAAGGAGAGTCTTATTTTAAGTTGTTCAGTTAAGCGAGTGAAGATGATATAAGGAAACCTGCTCTTGTCCAGAATTTTTTTTTTTTTTTTTTTTTAGACGGAGTCTCGCTGTGCTCCCAGGCTGGAGTGCAGTGGCGTGATCTCGGCTCACTGCAAGCTCCGCCTCCCGGGTTCACGCCATTCTCCCACCTCAGCCTCCCAAGTAGCTGAGACTACAGGCGCCCGCCGCCACGCCCAGCTAGTTTTTTGTATTTTTAGTAAAGATGGGGTTTCACCATGTTAGCCAGGATAGTCTCGATCTCCTGACCTCGTGATCCACCCGCCTCGGCCTCCCAAAGTGCTGGGATTACAGGCTTGAGCCACCGCGCCCGGCCTAGAATCTTAAATGTATTCTTCTAATCAAGTAGTATCAGAATATTTTGTGAGAACTCTTACTCCATGATGTTTTCTGAGTTGTTAAAAATTGTTGAATTAGTCCAAATCAATTAATGTGGCGATGAAGATGAAACTAAGGAATAAGAAGAATGGCAAGAGTCTTTGCAGATTGGATGAGTATCCTCTAATTGTTAGGTGGATTCTGGAAACAAAACAATTCAAAGTTTTATGTATTAAAATGAAAATCTCATATTTCCAGACATGTTTTAGATGTTTGGCTAATTAAACTATATTCTTTGATTGAAGTAATATAACATGCTCATTCATAGTGTTGAAAGAAATATGAGTTTATATAATGATGTATCTTTATAGAAGTAGAAATTTTGAATTATTGAGAATGAAGAAATATAAAACTGTTTCTTATGTTAATCCTTTAAAAAATTCTTTATTATGTTAAAATATATATAATGTGGAATATACCATTTTAACTATTTTAAAATGTATACTAGTGGCATTAAGTGCATTTTCTTTGCTGTACAACCATCAGCTCCAGAATTTTTTATCATCCTAGACAGAAAGTCTGTACACAGACTTAAAAATAACCCCTATTCATTCTTCCCTCCAAACCCTAGTAACCACTATATTATTTTCTGTCTCTATTAATCTTTTTCTTTCATGTATATTATTTTTTGTGGGTTAAAATAGTATTGTTTGTTTCTTGTCTTATCTAATAAGTACATTCTTTTTAAAATTACTGATTTATTTTTAGAGACAGGGTCTCACTTTGTTGCCCAGGCTGGAGTGCAGTGGTTTAATCATAGTTTGCTATAACCTTGAACTCCTGGGCTCAAGCAATCCACTTGCCTCAGTCTCTCAAGTAGCTGAGTACATAGCCACGCAATACCACACCCCACTAATTTTTGTATTTGTTGTAGAGACAGTGTCTCACTATGTTGCTCAGGCTGGTCTCAAAGTCTGGCCTCAGGCAGTCCACTGTCTTCGCCTCCCAAAGTGCTGGGGTTACAGGCCTGAGCCACTGCACCCTGCAGTCAGGGGCTCTCAATAATTGTATTTTAAAGCTGGGCTTGGTGGCTCATGCCTGTAATCCCAGCACATTGGAAGGCCAAGGCAGGCAGATCTCTTGTGCCTCAGGATTTCAAGACCTGCCTAGGCCACAGTAGCTCATGCCTCTTATCCCAGCACTTTTGGAGGCTGAGGTGGGCGAATCATGAGGTCAGGAGATCGAGACCATCCTGGCCAACATGGTGAAACCCCATCTCTACTACAAATACAAAAATTAACTGGGCATGGTGGCATGCTCCTGTAGTCCCAGCTACTCAGGAGGCTGAGGCAGGAGAATTGCTTGGACTCGGGAGTCAGAGGTTGCAGTGAGCTGAGATCATGCCACTGCACTCCAGCCTGGTGACAGAGCGAAACTCCATCTCTAAATAAATAAATTAATTAATTAATTAAAATTTTTTAAAAATTTAGGTGAAGCCTGCAAATGTATACTCATGTGCACACACAAATTTAACTTACCAAAAATATAAGTACGTATTTCTTTACTTTGCAAAAGTAATACATATACATTGTAGAAATTATATATACATCATAATATCACATGTAGGGATAAATTGTATGTGTATTAGTGTAGGTATGTTGTTGCAAATTTAGAAAATACAGAGAAACAAAAAGAAGAAAATAAATTCTACCATTCAAGGAATAACCACTGATAATATTTTGACATATATCCTACCATTCTTTTCATGTGTGTATTTTTTATTTTTTACAAAAATGGAATTGGGCCTGGTGTGGTGGCTCATGCCTATTATTCCAGCACTTGAGGAAGCTGAGGTGGGTGGATCACTTGAGGCCGGGAGTTTGAGACCAGCCTGGCTAACATGGTGAAACTCTGTCTCTACTAAAAATACAAAAAATTAGCCAGTAATGGCAGTATATTCCTATAATCCTAGCTAGTTGGGAGGCTGAGGCATGAGAATTGCTTGAAGTCGGGAGGTGAAGGTTACAGCGAGCAGAGATTGAGCCACTGCACTCCTGTCTGGGTGACAGAGTGAGACTGTCTCAAAACAAATAAAATAAAAACGAAAATGGAATTGTTTCTTTTTAAGGTTTATCCACGTATCCATGTTGTAGTGTTTCTGTACTTCATTCATTTTTTTGTTGTTGTTGTTGAGACAGAGTCTCACACTCTTGCCCAGGCTGGAGTGCAGTGGTGTGATCTCGGCTCACTGCAACCTCTGCCTCCTGGGTTCAAGTGATTCTCATGCCTCAGCCTCCTGAGTAGCTGGGATTACATGCGCCCACCACCATGCCCGGCTAATTTTTGTATTTGTAGTAGAGACGGGGTTTCACCATGTTGGTCAGGCTGGTCTTGAACTCCTGACCTCAGATGATCTGGGATTACATGCGCCCACCACCATGCCCGGCTAATTTTTGTATTTGTAGTAGAGACGGGGTTTCACCATGTTGGTCAGGCTGGTCTTGAACTCCTGACCTCAAGCAATCCACCCACCTTGGCCTCCCAGAGTGCTGGGACTACAGGCGTGAGCCACTGCATCCGGCCAAGTAATGTCATTTTTAAAGCTTTTAATTCTTATTGCTAAATTACTGTCTGTAATGGTTGCATTAATTCTTATCTCTGTTAGCAGTATATAATTAAACGCTTGTTAAACACTCATTAAATCTCATGATTGAACCCTTACCAACATCCCAACATTTGGCAACTTGACAGGTGAACAATGATGATAGCTTGTTTAATGTGCGTGTTTTTGGTTACTTTCTCATATATTTTTTGGAAAGTAGAACTCTTACGTTTGTTGTCTGCGTCTTATTTTTCTACGATGACTCCCTTTTTGTTATTGATTTTTTAGGGTTCTTTTACAGCATGGGGCTCTAGTGTTTGAATCACGTTTGACCTTGGGCAAGTTTTTTAACCTCTTCAGACTTTCAGCAGAGATAATGATAGACTAGCTATGGATATGAAATGAAATCATACTTATATAGCATTAGTGCAGTGATTCTCAAAGTGTGGTCCAGACCTTGAAATTCATTCAGGGTTTTTTTTTTTTTTTTCTTTTTGAGACGGAATCTTGCTCTGTGGCCCAGATTGTAGTGCAGTGGCGTGATCTCGGCTCACTGCAACCTCCGTGTCCTGGTTCAAGCAATTCCCCTGCCTCAGCCTCTTGAGTAGTTGGGATTACAGGCACACGCCACTGTGCCCAGCTAATTTTTGCATTTTTTAGTAGAGATGGGGTTTCACCATGTTGGCCAGGCTGGTCTCGAACTCCTGACCTCAAGTGATCCACCCACCTCAGCCTCCCATAGAGCTGGGATTACAGGTATGAGCCACCATGCTCGGCCTCATTCAGAGGTTTTTGAGGTCAAAACTAATTTCATTGTAATACTGAGATGTTTCTTCCCTTTTTTTTTTTTTTTTTTGAGATGTAGTCTTGCCGCCCAGTCTGGAGTGCAGTGGCACGATCTTGGCTCACTGCAACCTCCACCTTCAGAGTTGAAGTGATTCTCCTGTCTCAGCCTCCTGAGTAGCTGAGATTACAGGCACGTGCCAACACCCTTAGCTAATTTTTTTGTATTTTTAATAGAGACAGGGTTTCACCATGTTGGTCAGGCTGGTCTTGAACTCCTGACCTCAGATGATCCACCAGCCTTGGCCTGTTACTTGCCTTTTTAACTAACCCATCCCTCCTTTCCTTACTTATCTGAAATATTATAATAGTGTTATGAAAAGGGCATAAGCTTTGGTTTTAGACTAACTTGAGTTTTAATCCTGACTGTCAGGATTAAAAATCTCTCAGCCTCAAATTTTTCATCCATAAAATGAAGATAATACCTACCTCACAATGGTGAATATGTGGCATTAGCTGCTATTATTGTTAGTAACAGTTATACTCTTGTAGGTTGATTCTGGATTTTTGCTTCTATTTATTTGAGTCATGTCTGACTAGTCCTGCAGTGTAATATAAATTGAATTGGATTTTATACCTTGTTATCTGTATTTAGTTTGCAGATGCTGAAGGTTACTTTGCTGCTTGCACAACAGATACAACTATGAACAGTTCTTTGGTAAGTCTTTTTTTTGTCAGGAATGGAGAGGTGGGGTTGAGCCATGGTAGGAAAAACTGAAACAGTTTTGATGTTAGCAAAGCTATGTTACAACATAGATATGGCTCAATATTGGGTGCCCATCATGAGGATTGTAATTTGGTACTTTTTTTCTCCTTAGGGATACCTGGGGCCTAGAGGTAATCTATTTAGCTGCCTCTGAAGAGAGAGGGGAAGGGGAAACTGGTTCAGGAGTGAAAATAATAAAGGACAATCCTTTGTTACTAACCAACTTTTTTACTTCATGCACGTTATTATTATCATTTAGAAACAAATATTTTTGACACTGAGACTATATAGGCAAATTATTTGTTTGTGTATTCCACAAATTTTTTACAGTGACAAATATGTGTTAAACACTTGTTCTAGGCTCTGAAGATACAGCTTTGTTCTAGTGTGTGAGTGTGTGCGTATTTGCGAGGGGACAGGTAATAAGCAAGTAAAGTAATTGACGTAGTCACTTATTTTAAGCATTTATAATCTAGTTGGAGAGGTAGTATATAAAAATCTGTTTTTTTAAAGATGATCACTTAGGCACTTCTTCTTTTATTTTTTATTTTTAGATTTCTTTTTAGAGACAAGGTCTTGCTCTGTTGCCTGGGATGGAGTACAGTGGCAGTGTTATGGCTCGTTGTAACTTTGAACTGCTGGGCTTAAACGATCCCCTTGTCTCAGCCTCCTAAATACAAGCATACTCCACCACTAGCTTTTGATTTTTATTTTTTAGAAACATGGTCTTGCTGTGTTGCTCAGGGTGGCATCTCTGTAAAATGTATTTTTAATGATACTTGTTTTCTTTCCAAACATGGCATTTTATCTGAGAAAAATTATAATTACTCTAAAATTTAATAGCAATTTGTGAAGCACTGGCTTGGTGACCTTACTCCCAGCACAGTTTTCTTGTTTGCCTCTCTGTTTTTTAGTGTAGGCTACAGTGGCATGCAGAGTAGGCTAATAGGTACTATGAAGAATTTTTTTTTTCCTGGGATTTTAAGCATCAATAACATAATTTAATATCATTTGTCTCTATCAGTACAGAAGACAAAGTTGAGATGACAGCCTGCTCTTCTGACTACTCTTGTACTAATTCTTGCTATTATCTGTAAGATGGATATGTCAAATTGCTCTAGGCCAGATGCTATAGTGAAAACTTCAGTATAACAGAGAGATTATGTCTATTTCCAAACCTACTGTCCCTTCATTTACTGAATATATATATTTTTTTTATTTGTGGAGCTCTATACCAGGAGTTAAAAGAGAAATCAAAGAAATAAAAAAAGTTCTGTTAATTTTGAAGAATTAGCCTAGTTGGAGATTTGTACCTTAAATATAGATCATCTGAAGAACTTTTGTAAAAACAGTTGAGGAATTTATAACTACCTGAAAATATGGACCTTTGGAGCATGGTTAGACAAACCTGGCTTTAATTCTTTTGTCTACTACCTGATTACTTTATATCTCAGCTTTATTCTCTAAAATTATTAATATTATTGTTTTGAGATGGAGTCTCGCTCTGTCACCCAGGCTGGAGTGCAGTGGCAGAATCTCAGCTCACTGCAATCTCCGCCTCCTGGTTTCAAGCGATTCTCCTGCCTCCACCTCATGAGTAGCTGGGATTACAGGCACACACCACCACGCTCAGCTAATTTTGTGTTTTAGTAGAGATGGGGTTTCACCATGTTGGCCAGGCTGCTCTCAAACTCCTGACCTCAAGTGATCTGCCCGCCTCAGCCTCCCTAAGTTCTGAGATTACAGGCATGAACCACTGCACTGGCCATATTCTATAAAATTATTGTGAGGACTAATGAGAAATATATGTTTAACTGCTCTAGAGTTGGTACTCAATACATAGTAAGAACTGGTAAGTAGTAGCTATTTTGTGTAAAGGTCTGCAAGAATTTTAGTTAATATAAGAGGAGACAATTTAGTAAATATTAAATACATACTATATACCTGGTTATCAGTTTGTTATCTGCCTTCCCTGTTAGACTGCATGATCACTGAGGAAGAGACTGCTTTTATTCACCCTTATATCCCCAGGACGTAGAACAGCATCTGACCTAGTAGGAGCTCAATAAGCATTTGTTAAATGAATGAAAAGGAATGAGACATAATCTGTTAGCTGAGATAGAATCTGTTAGCTAAGAAAGAGATATGTTTTTATGACATTTAAATATTAGATATCATAATATGCCAATACAGTTATATTACGTTTCTAAACTGTAAACTGGATTCTTTTCTGTCATTGTACCTGTATGGATCTGTTGAGTTTCCTTTTTTAAGTCTTGAAAATTGCTGTTTAAACTTGGTGGTGAACAACCATGTTTTAGATGGTATTTGTGTCTACGTACCAGCCGTTTACATTTTAACCAGTATATTAGCTTTTATAATTGTTGTTTATATTTTTTTTCTGTTATATTCCAGAGTGAACCTCTGTATGTTCCTGTGAAATTCCATGATCTTCCAAGTGAAAAACCTGAGAGCACAAACATTGATACTGAAAAAAGTAAGCAAAACTTAGAAATGGGTAGAAAGTTTAGCTTTATTCAGGCCACTTCAGAACTTAGTGATGATGTGGGTTGACTGAAACACCTAGCAATTCTGCTCCATGTGGTGTTGTCTCAGCCTAAAGTCTTCTAGAAGTTTGACTGGATTGTGAATCTAATATAGTATAATCATTTTTGTATTATTTCAACTGGAAATAATTTCTAAATACCAGAGATCTCTATGGTTTCATCATATATATGTGTACACACATATACACACACGCATCACACGCATATATATATATATATACTTTTTTAAACAAATAATATCCTCTTAAATATGCCCTCAAAGAGCCTAATAGCAAATTATAAGAATTTTGCTGCTTCTGTGAATTTAGTAAAGAATGCCACCTTTAACATAAGATGCAGTATTTATCCTTAATTTCCCTTGCAAGGAATGGACCTATAGAGAATTGTTCTGTGTGCTTGCCCAGGAAACGAATTCTCATAAATTGGATATGCATGAGGAAAAATCCAAATAAGGTTTTACTAGAAATACTAAAATAGTAATCAACTAAAATCCTGAAATAGGCAGTTGTGTATATACAGTACACAATTGCAGAAACCTTGTTCGAATATTGGTTTCATTTTAAACCTTTTACAACATTTTTGTAGATGAAAACATTTTTCCTTTTAACTCTTTTAAGTGAACAAAGTTGTCTCAGGTAATGATATACCTCTGGTTTACTTTGACTGTCTTACTCTGATCATAGATGAACTTATATGTTTATCAGTAAATTAAAACTTGTGACTTTTGTTGGAGAGGAGTTATTTAATTATTTCGTATTGTGCTTTTCCTTTTAAGCCCCCAAAAAGTCTCGTGTGAGGTTCAGTAATATCATGGAGATTCGACAGCTTCCGTCAAGCCATGCATTGGAAGCAAAGTTGTCTCGAATGTCATATCCTGTGAAAGAACAAGAATCCATACTGAAAACTGTGGGGAAACTTACTGCAACTCAAGTAGCAAAAATTAGCTTTTTTTTTTGCTTTGTGGTAGGTCTTTTTATGATATGTTTGCATATGATATTTGAAACTTGAATTTTAAGACAGTATATATACCAACAATATAGGATGGAAGTGTGAGACAATTAGGTTGTTTAATCATGACTTTAAACTCTGCTGTTTGAGACCTGTAGGAAGTTAGGGTATCAAAATTAGTAAATGCTTGATATACCTCAAAGAGTTAGCATTCAATAAGTCCTATAACACTTCAGCTATTTATATATATGCACAAACTTTTGAACACGCACAGTTTGGGAAGTTCTTCAGAATTTAGCATTGCCTCATGGTCAAAATTATGAATAGAGTTATTTTCCACTGTGATATATGTATATACAAAGGTTAGTAAATATCCAGATAAGAGTTTACTGTATGCATTGATTTTTTTCAAATAAGTGTTTTGCAGTTTTATATTCGTATAAATGAGGTTAAGTATTATTTTGTCAAGTACTCAGTATATTTCTACAGAATTTCTGGTTGTATTATTTATAGTTTCTTACTTTTTTAAGATAGAAACTGAAAAATGTGCTTAAGATTTCACATAGAATAATGATGGAGTAAATAAAGTATTGTTATTTTGGGCTAAGCTGGGATTAGAGACTTGTCTGACTTAGTGAGAACTCTAACATGTAGAATTTAAAAAATGAATTTCTGTGCTATTTTATGTATACATCATTGGAAGTAGCCTAATCTTTTTTAATATGAACCTTTAAGATTCAAATTTATACCGAGCATCTTAAAACCCTAAATAATGAAATGCTAATGTCAATGTTATTAGCCTGATTATAAAATTTTTTTAATGTCATGATTTTGCCTTTCATACTCATTCAATAGCCCATTTTTCTCCATTCCCTGGCTCTACTAATAACACTATTCTTTATACCAGATTTAAAGGTATGTGCAGATAATAGCCTTTTTAAGAATTAATTTTTGAAATTATAATAAAGTATACATAAAATACACCATTTTGATCATTTTTTCTTTTTTTTAAACGGAGTTTTGCTCTTGTTGCCCAGGCTGGGATGCAATGGCGCAATCTCGGCTCACCACAACCTCTGCCTCCTGGGTTCAAGCAATTCTCCTGCCTCACCGCCCCGAGTAGCTGGGATTACAGGCGTGCACCACTACAGCCAGCTAATTTTGTGTTTTTAGTAGAGACGGGGTTTCTCCATGTTGGTCAGGCTGGTCTCAAACTCCCGACCTCAGGTGATGTCCCCTGCCTCAGCCTCCTGAAGTGTTGGGATTACAGGCATAAGCCACCGCTCCTGGCCCTGATCATTTTTAAGTGTACAGTTAGTGGCATAAAGTACATTCACATTGTTGTGCAACCATCACCCCATCCATCCACAGAATTTTTTCATCTTATAAAACTGAAACTATCCGTTAAACAATAACTCTTCTTTCCCACCACCCACAGCCCCTGGCGACCTCTATTCTGTTTCTGTTTCTATGGATTTGACTACTCATAAGTACCTCATGTTGAGTGGAATCATACAGCATTTGTCTTTTTGAGACTGGTTTATTTCATTTAGCATAATGTCCTCCGGGTTCATCCAGGTTGTAACTTGTGTCAGAATTTCCTTTCTTTTGAAGGCAGAATAATATTTCATTGTACAGATATACCATCTTTTGTTTATTCATTATTCTGTCAATAGATGCTTGGGTCACTTAGACCATAAATTGTCTTTGAAAAATAGCAACTTAAAATACATTGTGAAAGCAGAAAGCTAACAGATAGTTTCAGTTTTATAAGATGAAAAAATCTGGCCAGGCGCGGTGGCTCATGTCCGTAATCCCAGCACTTTAGGAGGCTGAGGTGGGTGAACCACGAGGTGAAGAGATCGAGACCATCCTGGCCAACATGGTGAAACCCCGTCTCTACTAAAAATACAAAAATTAGCTGGGCGTGGTGGTGCACGCCTGTAGTCTCAGCTACTCAGGAGGCTGAGGCAGGAGAATCGCTTGAACCCAGGAGGCAGAGGTTGCAGTGAGCTGAGATTGCGCCGCTGCACTCCAGCCTGGGTGACTGAGCGAGACTGTCTCAAAAAAAAGAGAAAAAAATCCTGTGGATGGATGGGGTGATGGTTGCACAACAATGTGAATGCACTTTATGCCACTAACTGTACACTTAAAAATGATCCAAATGGTATATTTTATGTATATTATAATTTCAAAACATAACTTTTAAAAATGCTATTATCTGCACATACCTTTAAATCTGCTATAAAGACTAGTGTTGTTACATAACAATTTACATAATACATTTCTCTCAGAGTTTTAAGTTAGGAAAAAGTTTGCTTTTTCCAAGGAAGGGAGATAGTTCCTTTTAACAGACAATGAGCTATGTAACTCAGGTTTTCCTATTGCCTCCCTGCCTTTTTGCCTACAGATGAGTTGTATGCTCGCCTGAAGTAGCTTTCTTCCTTTAAACTGAAGTTTCTGATATAATCATCACGTTCCACAGCCAGCTCCCACTGCATTAGCCATTTAATCTGGCTCTGATCTTTTTACTCTTGTTTTAATTTTCACCATATACAATTGGTCCTTGAACAACATGGGTCTGTATTGCGCAGGTATGCTTACACACAGATTTTCATCTATCTCTGCCACACCTAAAACAGCAAGACCAGTCCCTTCTCTTTCCCAGGCTTCTTATGCAACATGAAAATGACAAGGATGACGACCTTTATATGATGATTCATTTCCACTTAATGAGTAGTAAATATATTCTTTCTTATGATTTTCTTAATAGCATTTCTTTTCTCTAGCTTTCTTTATTATAAGCATATAGTATACACTACATATAACATACAAAATATCTGTTAATCATTACTTACGTTATTGGTAGGGTTTCCAGTCACCAGTAGTCTATCAGTAGCTACATTTTAGGGGAGCCAAAAGTTATAGCAGATTTTTTTTATTGCCTGAGGGTTGGTCCCCCAATCCCCATGTTGTTCAAGGGTCAACTATAGAAGCTTTTATTACACATCTCCTTTGAAAACTGGGTAGCATATAATTAATACATTTTAGTCCTGCCTTACACTCATTTAAAACAAGCAGAGACCCCAACTAATAAAATGGCAGACGTTGTATGGACAATTTTTATTGGAGGATGGTTGAGATGGGTCTTCTTTTGTGATGAGGGTGCCGTGGAAACAATAGCCAGAGAATGGTGTTTGGTGAGAGGTAGAGAATGGAAAGGTTATTCTGGAAAGAGTTCACAGCTAATGAAGGATTCTTATGACCTTTGAATGCTTCTTATCTAAGTGATCTGTTTTTATTTATTTACCTTGAATTAGCATGGACTGGTGAGGTTGTTTGGAAAATGAGGACAATATTTAAGTATAAAAATAGTAAGAGAAGTGGGTCAAGAAAGCTAATAATCACTCTGTGAGCATTGTCTGTTCATGGAGAAAATCTTTGACAGATAAGATTAAGGGTTGAGTCTTCTTTTCTAGCACTTCATCTGCACGCAGATTGTGGCTTCTCTTGCCATATATGTTTGATATTGCCCATCAGTTGTTACCTCGTTTTATCTAGATAGGCATGTGAAATTATCTAGGAAATCAAAGGATTGCAGATGGAATCAGAACCACGTTGCCATAATTTCATTCTGGCTTTAGCCTTGAGTACAGTATAGACTGAATGGAGACTACTAGGCTCTCAGCCATCTGCTGCCTTCTGATAGTGCTCTACAATCATGTGTCTCTACTGCTTCTTTGCAGTGTGAATACTAGTGTAATACTACTCAGCCACAGGCTCTGAGAGAGATAGAGAGATGTTCCTGTCTTAATAGAGATAAGTCATTTAGTGGGATAGCTCTTCGAATCAACCAGTGTAAGTAGCAGAGACACCAAAAACAATTAGTCTAGCCGTTAGTTTACTTTGCTTGACCCAGCAATCCACCTCTTAGTATATGCTTTGGTGACACTCATGTACTTATGTACCAGGTGGCAGGCATGTGCTAGAATTAAGATATTCATAGTCGCATTGTTTCAGATAGTAAAAAAAGTGTTATCCACAAAAAATGGATGAATTATCAGTGAAAATTACTGAACTTTGGACACACACACATTCTGCCAGTCTTCATCAAAAAAAGTATTATTTCCTTTTTTTTTTTTTTTTTTGAGACGGAGTCTTGCTCTGTCGCCCAGGCTGGTGTGCGGTGGCACGATCTCGGCTTACTGCAAGCTCCGCCTCCCGGGTTCACACATTCTCCTGCCTCAGCCTCCTGAGTAGCTGGGACTACAGGCACCCACCACCACGCCCGGCTAATTTTTTGTATTTTTAGTAGAGACGGGGTTTCACTGTTGTTAGCCAGGATGGTCTCGACCTCCTGACCTCGTGATCCGCCCGTCTTGGCCTCCCAAAGTGCTGGGATTACAGGCGTGAGCCACCGCGCCCGGCCAAAAGTATTATTTCTTATTCTCCATCCTAACCTAGATAAGTGGAAGAAAAGAAAGAATTTTTGTGAAAAAGTCCTGATAGCTGGAAAGCTTCCTTCACTGTATCCAAAGTTATGAGAACTCTCTGGGTTGTGTCTCCAAATTGAGATTCAGAAAAGCAATCACAATTAACCAGTAAATTAACAATTTTCATAGGACATGTCTAAATTTCCAAAGTGAATATAGCCTTTTATTTTTCAATCCAGCTAGCTAGCTAAGACCATCCATATCCATGCACATCATCTGGTTTAATAGGTTTCTCATTATGCTGTATTCATCTGTACATATTCTAATGTCGGAGAATTTTCCCAAATTTAAATATGATTTAGATAAACTTCACAGAGTGTCAGCAGTACTTAGATAGAGCAATTTTTTTTTTTTTTTTTCTGAGACATGGTCTCTCTGTCACCTAGGCTGAAGTGCAGTGAGGCAGTCATGCCTGACTGCAGCCTCAACTTCCCAGGCTCAAGTAATCCTCCCACCTCAGCCTCCCGTGTAGCTGGGATTACAGGTGTGCACTACCACGCCTGGCTTATTTTTGTATCTTTTTTTGTAGAAATGGGGTTTCACTGTGTTGCCCAGGCTGGTCTTTCTGGGCTCAAGCAATCCACCCACCTCAGCCTCCTAAAATGCTGGGATTACAGGCATGAGCCACTACGTCCAGCCTAGATAAAGCAAATTTTTAAATTGATTTGATACTTGATTTTACTCTCATCAAAAAAAAAAAAAAAAAAAGAAAGAAAGAAAAACCTGAATGCTAATTGTTAACCAACTATTGTTAAATTTTAAGGGAAACTGGGTAGCGGGGTCTTAGGTCTGATTATAAATGTTTGTCTTTTTTGGAGGCCTGTGATTTTTTCAATACAAAGCAGCTTTTAAAACATCTTGTGAGAACAGTGTTTAGGAGGAGAACAAAAGAGGGAATTCTGAATTGTAATGACAGATGTAAACATGTCTTTCATTAGGGTTCACTTTGGTTTTCTTTTCCTTTAGTGGTTTTTGGCAAATTTGTCATATCAAGAAGCACTTTCAGACACACAAGTTGCTATAGTTAATATATTATCTTCAACTTCTGGTAAGAAATTTGTCTTTAAAACTCTGCATTATAAATCACTGTATATATTTCTGGTGTATATGTGTGTACATATACAGCATTTTTATCTTGTTATAGCTTCTTATATTAGTTCTAATATACATTAGTCTGTTATAACTACCTTTTAATCTGTATATAGTCAGGTGCTGCATATGATGTTTCAGTCTACAACAGACTGTATATACAATGGTGGTCCCATAAGATTATAATACCAATATGTTTACTGTACTTTTTCTGTATTTAAATATGTTTGGATACACAAATACTTACTACTGTGTTACAATTGCCTAGAGTATTCAATACAGTAACATGCTATACAATTTGGTAGCCTACAAGCAATAGGCTATAGCATATCGCCTAGCTGTGTAGTAGGCTATACCATTTAGGTTTGTGTAAGTATGCTCTATGATGGTGGCACAAGGATGACATTGCCGAACGACACGCATTTTCTCTGTATTTATCCCTGTTGTTAAGCATGACTGTAGTTTCATGCCTTAGCCTGTGCTATTTATGTTCCTTCAAATAATTTACAATTTTTTTTATATAACAATATATTACAGTTTTATAGGCTGGCCTTTTGTATTGTAGTTGCCTTTCCCTTCATACATACTTTTCTGAGATCTTTTTCTAGACCCTTTGGCTAAAATGTAATTGCTTATTTCAGAACTATAATTTGCCCTATGATAGGTGTTTTATTTTTAAGATTGAATCACTTTTCAAATCTGGAAGACAAAAGTATTTTTGAAGCTATAAAAATAACTTCAGGACACAGGCTTGATTATGATGAAGTCAACATGTTACTCTGAATAAGATTTAAGTTTCCTATTAGTTTAAAATAAATAGGACTGTACTTGATCTGTACTGTTGAAATAAACATGGTTTAGTTTGGAGGCTATTTTATGCATGAACTTTAAACATTTCAGTCTAGTCATTACTTAACTGCAGTTATTTTCTTAGTTAAGAGTGACAAAAATAATTTGAAAGTTAGGTATATAATTTGCTTAAACAATGAAGTTGTTAGTAAAAATGTTGACAGTATTTAAACTCATGTACCGTTTTTAAATTCTTTTCTCCTGATAGGACTTTTTACCTTAATCCTTGCTGCAGTATTTCCAAGTAACAGTGGAGATAGATTTACCCTTTCTAAACTATTAGCTGTAATTTTAAGGTAAGAATATACTGTGATAGCTAGTTTACTCTGCTTAAAAATACAATGTCACAATTTCTGATAGTGGCACCAGGGTAGTTTATATTGTAAGAGCAAAGAAAGATGTGGATAAAAGAAGGCTTTAAACGGACATGATGCTACTCAGCCCTGTCACATCCAAATTTTATTGAAACACAGCTACTCTCATCTATTTGCAAATTGTCTATGGCCATTTTAGCACTACAGAGGCAGAGTTGAATTGCAACAATGTGGCCCACAAGCCTAAAATATTTACTATCTGTACCTTTAAAAAAAAGTGTTACTTAGAAATTTTTTGTGTAAGTGTATGTTCTTAAGAATTATGTATTAAACATTGTTTAATACTTTGCTTTGAATTGGCATTTTACTAAGAGATTCAATTTCTGAGAATATAAAAAGAATTTTACATAGCAACAATCTGGAAGGAAATCTAAGCAAAGAAATCTCATTTCATCAATTGAGAGACAAGAGTGTGGCCTCAAGCCAAACCACTTGGAATCCAATCCCATCTCCATCATTATTAGTTTTGAGATCTTGGGCAAGTTACTTACGTTTCTGTGCCAATTGTCTCATCTGTATATTGGGGATAATAATAGGATTTCTCTCATAGGATTATTATGAGGATTGAATGAATAGAACTTCTAAAGTGCTTGGAACAATGTGTGATACACAACAGGAGGTGCTCCCTATATTTAGCCATTATCATAATCATCATCATCTAAATGGAAACAAAACCCCTGGTTTCTAAATATATTGTGGATACTCAATAAATAATAGCTGAATCTGAATATGAACAATGATTATTACAGAAAATTGTGATGATTTAATTGAAAGGTATGCATATTTAAGGACTACATTTAAGTTCTGATGACATCTTTCCATAAGGGAATACATATTTTCTTTCATCTTCTCCCACTGCCACTCTGGTCTTTCTGATCAGGGTGAGAGAATTAGGCTTTTTTTTTTTTTAAATTAGGAATATCTCATCTACTTGAAAACATGTTACAATTTATAAGATTCATAGAAATAGAAAGACAATGTAAGTTCCCTGAGGACAGGAACCACATCTGTTTTGGTCACTTCTGTAACCCTGTGCTTTGCTCATATTAGATGCCCAGAAAATAACAATTGAGTTTATGAATGACCTCTGATATCTCTACAACCTTAATTCAGTCTTATTTTTATCCACTAAAATCATGAGATTAGTGAAATTGTTTAAGCACATAAGGATAGTTTTACCGTTAATTTAGATTTTACCAATAAGCAAGAGTAAGTACTGTTACATTGCTGGATTTACATGGGTTTGATATATTTTTGTAATCCAAAAGAAAGATTGGAAAGGCATGACAAGTTGGTTAATTCATTCCTAATTGAAAGACAGTTGATAGCATAGCACTTAAGAGCACTGGACTGTGGAGTAAAACTGCCTGCGTTTCAGTCTCGGCTATGTGATCTTGGTCAAGTTACCTTACCTCTTTGTGTATTAGTTTTCACATGTAAAATGGGAATGGCAGTAATAATACTTCCTTATAAGGTATAATATTGTACATTTTGTGAGGATTAAATGAGTTAATACGAATATAACACTATATTATATTGATATTGTTAGATATTGTTATTGAAATTGCTAAATTATTTGACAGTGTTACCCAAAGTTGAGATTAGTCTTGATCACTTATAAATAATTTTTATCTTTATGATTAGCCTTTTCAGAATTGTTTAGCTCATCATTAATGACTGTTATTCTCATAGCATTGGAGGTGTTGTACTGGTAAACCTGTCAGGGTCTGAAAAATCTGCTGGAAGAGATACAATAGGTAAGTACTTGACTCTGCATTCTCTCTGTTAAGAGTATACAGGAAAGTTTTTTGTTAGAGTAAACAAGAAAGTCAAATGTGCATGCTCACGCGCACAGATACACGTACAAAGTGTAGGCACTAGCAGGGTGTTTTTTTAAACTTTTCCTTGGGAAACAATATTAAAAAATGCATAAATATTTTAGCGAATTCTCATAGCCTTCACCCAGATTTTTCAAATGTTAACAACGTACATAACTATTATACAGTTATAAAAATCAGGAATTAACATTGACTATAATGCTGTTATCTACAAAGCCTTTTCAAATTTTGCCATTTTTTACACTAATGTTCTTTTTCTGATCTAGGATCATTTATTGCATTTAATTGTCATGTTTCCTTAGTTTCCTTTAAATGCAGAACTGTTTCTCAGTCTTCTTTTATGACCTTGACACTTTTGTAGGGTCCCACCTAGTTGGTTTGTAGAATGTTCCTCAGTTTGTATTTGTCAGACATTTTCTTTGGTTAAATTGAGGTTGTGCATTTTTGGTAAGAACATAATAGAAGTGATATTGTTTCCTGATAAGTGCATTCTACCAACAGGCATTGATATTGATTTGTCCTGTTGCTGGGAATGTTAATTTTAAGGTGGTTAAAATCAACTACCTTATTCTAGTGTAAAGTTATTAATTTTTCCCATTGTAAGTAATAAGCATCTTGTTGGGGATTCTTTGAGGCTATACAAATTTCCTGTTGCTGTCATATCACCCAGGAATATTGTTATTCCCTCTTGATTCTTGTCTGAAACAGTTACTGCTATGATGAACACTTAGTTTTTGATCCATTGCTTAGACTTAACAAAAACAAAAATAAGTAGAACCTAGCTGGGCTGAGCATGGTGACTCATGCCTGTTATCCCAGTGCTTTGGGAGGCCAAGGTGGGAAGATTGCTTGAGGCCAGGAGTTCAAGACCAGCCTGGGCGGCATAGTGAGACCTCATAATAAAAAATAAACCTATATTAATTATTTCTCTTTGGATACTTCTTTAGATATTTGAGGTTTATTGAATAGAACAATGCTTTCTAAATTATTCCTAACTACTACCCAGTGAGCTGTGCTTTGAACCTCCTCACCTCTTTCTCACCCAGAGCAGCTTTTTGTATACAAATACATAAAACAATATATGTATTTGGTATGTGCATGTGTGTGCAAGATTTTGTTGACAAAAGCTTTAAAAAAGTTTGAAAATAATAAAAGATGTAATAAAACATTCATCTTTTGAATAATTGATTAAAGTATTGAATATGACCACTTGGCAGAACATTATTTAGCTGTTTTGAAAGGTTTAAATGTTTTCGAGAGAGAGTTAATGAAGAGAATCAGTATTTATTATTCATGTACTGTGAGAGCTGTATTATGTTAGCTATTCTGGAACATTAAAAAGTATAAATTATGTGTTTGTAGTTTTCAAGGAGTTCTTGATTTGGAACAATATGAGATTTATAAAATGAAGCTACTAGGGATTAAACTAATACCATACTTGACAATAGTAAGTATTGTCTAAAACAGAAGACAGAACGGAAATGCAGCAGATTAGAAAGAGGATGCTTTGTGGAAGAAATGAAACTTTAACAGAGCCTTTAAGATGGGAGTGGTAGTGCAATACATATTAAGAATGATATATGGGGGTAAGGAAGACAATACAAGCAACAGCTTAGTGATGGAAAGAAACATTTGTTAAGTTGGAAAATGCCAGGTGTCAAGATTGTTTATGTAGGGTAAAATAAGAAACATGCATTTCCAAATTAAAAACAAAGTGTTACTTTTTAGTTGTATTACTATAATATGTATAGGTTTTGGTCAGATCATTGAGGTGAATGCTTTTGCATTTATTTGTTAACACACTAAACTCCTTCCTGTACTACTAAAAGACGTGGATTGGGTAGGCTATACCTTTTCATTATATATCTTTGTATCAATATAAAAGTGATTTATCTAATTATATATCTTTTCACTTTTGTATATTCTTGCAATGTTATCTGACACATTATTGGATTTTAAGTGTATATTGAATGAATTAATGAGTGGTTGCTTTAAATCATGTTGATTTTTACAGGTTCCATTTGGTCTCTTGCTGGAGCCATGCTCTATGCTGTCTATATTGTTATGATTAAGAGAAAAGTAGATAGAGAAGATAAGTTGGATATTCCAATGTTCTTTGGTAAGAATATGTTTAACTTGTGAGGCTATTTACTGTAAATGTCTAACACAGGGTTTTGCTTTTGTTTTTTTGGACGGAATAGGGAACCCTTTTTTTTTTTTCTTCCATATGATTCTTCAAAACCATTTAAAGATTATGAAGGCCAATCCCAATGTTTACTTTATCCTGCATGGTTGTGTACCTATGAGGGAATGCCCATCTCCCTAGTGTGTGACAGAAACTCCTAACACTTTTTTTCAAATTGATGTCTTCAGACTGCAAGTCAGATATTTATCTCAGCGATATGACAGAGTTATGCTCTTACAAGCATATGAGAGTTTACCTGCTGTATTTTACATTTTGCCAGTTTTGAATAGTTAGCAAAGGATTGGGGAGACTGCCCCCAAATTATATGTTTAATGCTCTCACAGTCTATGTACTTATTTACATTAAAAATTGTGGGCCATTTAAAGGGTTTTCATTTGCATTTTATCTTTAAGACACAGACACTTTTATAACATAGATTCCTTCTCAAATTACCCAATTATAGTTTCTAGATATGGTTTATAAATTTTCCTTTGCCTAACATCAGTTCAGGAAAGAACTTGCAATATCTGTAGGACTGCAGAAGAAGAACACATTGACAAGCTATCTTTCAAAAGATATCTGAATATAAATAATAAAGAAGCTCAGTGATAAGAGTTCAAAGTGCAGCTTACAAGGAGTCAGGAGACCTGGAATCCAGCTGTGGTAACTTTATTTATCTCATAGACATCTGGAATATGAGGAAATTGGACTAGATGAATGGCCTCTAAACTGTGATTTAGGGAATAGATAGGCTCCCGGGATGGTTGGAAGGAAATAGAGTTGCATGCAGGGGTCTAGTTCTTGGACTCCTTTGCTGCTTCACCTGTGGAACAGCTCTACTTTGTTGAGCATTTTGCATTAGAATTTAATTTGTAGTAAAGATTTTTCTTATGGTTGGGCATGGTGGCTCACTCCTGTGATCCCAGCACTTTGAGAGGCTGAGGCAGGAGGATTGCTTGAAGCCAGGGATTTGAGATCAGCCTGGTCAACATAGGGAGACCACATTTCTATTTAATTTTTTTTTAAAAAAAGACTATTTTAAAACTAAAAATAGTTTAAATACCTGTATCTGAAGACTAACAAAAATAAAATGTTTGAAAAGCCATGAGGCTGAGTGATTGCTTAATTTCTTTTTAAATACAGAATTCAAGAAATACAGCTTAATAGCCAGGTTTGGTTGCATGTGTCTGTAATCCCAGCTACTTGAGAGGCTGAGGCAGGAGAATCACTTGAGTCCAGGAGTTCAAGTCTGCAGTGAGCTATGATTGTGTCTCTGCACCCTAGCCTGGGTGACAGAATAAGATGCTGTCTCTTAAAAAAGAAAAGATAATTTTAATGATATTTTATTTGGCAGTCATAGAAAATTTTATTTGGAAAGGAATAAAATGCTAGTTTATTTTAGTGTTAGAGGTAGGTGGTTGGGTCAGTGATACTTTTTGAAAATTTAAACGTTGACAACTTGCAAGAAAAATTGCTTAATTTACTCATATTAGGGAGAGTGCATATAGACATGTAGCTTGTGTTGGTCCTGTTCATATGTGATGTGATACGTAAAGCAATATTGATCTGCCCTGGGCTTTAGAATAGACACGATTCGGAGAAGTCAGGATTGGGATATTGGGGGGTCTTCAGGCAAGGGAGTTTGAGCAGAGGCTTAACGCGGAGCAGTGAGTAGATCTGAATGATTGTGCTGGAACTTCGCTTTGTGGAAGAACAGAAAGGTGTGTGGTGCCAGATTCTGGGCAGTCTAGGGAATAGGTGGAGTCATTGGGACTTTTGTCTTTAGGTCAAAGGATGTTAATTTATGTGAGATTTCATAGACTCAGCACTTCAGGGACCAGAAAATAGATTCAGTTCTTGGTAATGCCACATTTTGGTGTTTCATTAAAACAACTTTGTAATGTTATTTAAGCATTTTAGGTCATGTGTCCTGTATATGTGTTCTTTTGTTGTTGTTTTTTTAATGAATAGATGTCTGAAGGTTGTGTATTAGTCTGTTTTCCCACTGCTATAAAGAACTACCTGAGACTGGGTAATTTATAAACAAAAGAGGTTTAATTGACTCAGTTCTGCATGGCTGGGGAGGCCTCAGGAAACTTACAATCATGGCGTAAGGTGAAGGGGAAGCAAGGCATGTCTTACACACTGGCAAGAGAGAGAGAACTTGTGAAGGGGGAACTGCCGAAGACGTTAAAACCATCAAATCTTGTAAGAACTCACTATGATGTGAACAGCATGGGGGAACCGCCCCCATGATCCAGTCACCTCCCACCAGGTCCCTCCCTGACACATGAGGATTACAATTCGAGATGAGATTTGGGTGGGGACACAGAGCCAAACCATAATAGTTGGGCTCCCTAAAACAGGATATGAGATGGGGAATTTGTGTAGGTGATTTATTGTGGGGAGTTCACTGAAGGAAAAACTTGGAGTGAAGGAAGCAAGATAGAGAAGGGGAAAGAACCATGTGGCACACAAGTATAACTGAGGTTTGGCCCAATTCATTGCAGGTGCTAGGGCGGGGAGCAGAGGGAGAGCAGCTAATATGTCTGGGCCTTGAGCCATGATGGCCGGCCTCATAAAGCCTCCATCAATTAGTCATGAGCTGCAGAAGATGGGGTGGGGTGGAGGGTGGGAACTTGCTGGGAAAGGCAGACTTATTTGCCCCTCCCTTCACAGAAGTGGGGTGGCTGTGAGTCTTTAGCATCAGATAGAGAGTGGGTGCTCCTGCCCTGTTAAGATTTAATTAGGCATCCTAATTACCAGTTTATTATTTAGGTGACATAGTATCAATTATATATCTACTGTAATTTAATTTTCTTTTAAGAAAGCTGTATAGTTACCGCATAAATCATATAGCAAATTTGTGACATAAACTACATAGAAAGTACAACAAAATTTATTATACAGTTGTTATCTTTTTTCTTTATAGTCTTTACTTTCACATGTATATAGTCATATATAAACTTAATTTCTATAGTAATATTTGCTTTTATTAAATGCTTACTCTGTGCCAGATACTATGCTGTATTTTATGTGTTTAATCTTGCCAGCAACCTAATTAAATATTATTAAATTTTATTTTATGTTTATAGATTGGAAAACTAAGGCTTAAAAGAGGTATAAGGTTTGCACTACTATTCAATGATAGATAGAGCTGGGATTGGACCCAGGCAGTCAGACTGCCGAGCACACACTTAACCACTATGTGGGATGGCTCTCCTTAATAACTGGTCAGTCTGTACTTTGCTCATATGTTGAATAACTCTGTGTGTGTACAAACTTTCTCACTAACTAGCTAGAGGTCTGGGAATGCAGGAACCAAGAGTTTTATCTCCTTTGGAACTTCTTCCATTACTGCTCGCATAGCACAAGTGTTTTGGACATAAATACTTGAATCAGAAAGCAAACCATCTAATTCTTTAAAATTAATTTAGGCTGAATACACAAACACATACATACCAGTTATTTCTTTTAAGTTCTAGGGCACTTTATTGTCAGTTGCTAAGGCTAACAGCCCTTCTTGTTGAGTTGTCCTAAGTGGTTTACTCCACAGTAGTTGCTCCCATACAGTGGGATAGTTGAACTGACTGATCACCAGTTGCTTCAGACAGTTTTCTTTTTATGGTTTTGAGCTATTCACAGGACTGACTTAAAAACAAACCAACAGAAGGTTTAGCTAGTGAAATCTCCCAGAGTGCTTTTGTGCAAAATCTAATTTTGATTTTAGAGTTAATAAGCTTGGAGAATAGAAATAAATCACAATTTTAACTTTTGTTTCCTTTATACATGTTCAGGTTTTGTAGGTTTATTTAATCTGCTGCTCTTATGGCCAGGTTTCTTTTTACTTCATTATACTGGATTTGAGGACTTCGAGTTTCCCAATAAAGTAGTGTTAATGTGCATTATCATTAATGGCCTTATTGGAACAGTACTCTCAGAGTTCCTGTGGTTGTGGTATGTACTGTTTATTCTCCAATTATTAATTATCAGTTGATTAATTTTTGGATATTTTAAGCGTTTATATTTTGTCTGTTTGCTGGTGGCCCTTCCTGTGCACCCCATTCTGCAACACACGTAAAACTGAATACTTTAACTCCACTAGAGCAGGGACTTTGTTTTTTAACTTCTGTGTGCCCATTCCAGAGTAGTGCCTTGTCCACAGGAGGAGCTCAATAAATACTTGTTGAATGAAGGAATGAATATGAATGGTCTAAATCTGTAAAAATGTTTTAGAAAGTGGAGTATTATGCAAATGAAAGTAGTCATTATCTAATGGATATCCAAATGTATGAGTTATGTATGCCAAGTGTGAAGGCATGAGTTCTAATTGAGAATCCAGGAGATGGTGCTTATTTAAGAGGCTTTGGAATATCTGTTTGCTTGTTCATAGGTGTTTTTGTTTTATTTATTTTCAGGACCTTTCATATCGGTGAGCCAGATATGTAAACCTTAAACTCTGATTGATTTGAGATGTTGACATACTTTGATATGCTATATATCCAATATATTGATATGCAATAATAAACTTAAAATAATTTGAAGACAGTATCATGTATGGAGTTTGAGAAACCTTTCAAATAACAGAGCTTTATACTTAGTCCTATTTTTATTTAATAGAAACTTAAATAAATAGAATGAATAAAACATAAATGAATAAAATGAATTTTATTACATACCCATTGAAACTGTTAACTAGTTTTCCCTTGTGAAAGACTGCAACAGAAATGGACTTTTTTTGTGGAGTCCTCCTTAATGCTCTGCCTATACTGCTGTGCCTCCCTGCCCAGTTAAGGAGTATCTGTTTTCTTGGATCCCCCATATTCACTCTCTTTTGTGTAATACTTGAAGATTTACTTTGTGTTGTAGTAATTTATGTTCTTATCTAAACTCCTTTGCTGATCTAAAATTCTTTAAAATCGTAATCCATTAACTCATTAATTTTTTCATCTTTAATTATATACATTTTAGATACTCGATTGTTTTAACCTGAACTATTAACAGATGACAAAAGGCTTTAGCCATCAGCTAAATTGGATCCACCTTAAAAGCTGGATTAAGTCAAACAGGCTTTATAATTCTATCTTCCAGGTTTTTTATTATAGTACTCTGCGTGACAAATATCCAAGAACATATGCTATATTTGACCCCGAACGCTTTTTTCACAGAGCAGCTAAGTAGTGGGAACCACAAGTACTTAAATTCCCTTTACCTCATCAGAAAGGACTAATTGTTCAGCCTCTGTTCAGTACTTCTAGTGACACTTTATTGAGAGCTAGCCCCTTTTATTGCAGGACAGCATTATTAATTCTGACATATACTGAGCTAGATTTTACTTGCCTATAACTTCCATGGATCTGTAGTCCTAACGATATACATTATGGTTTTGTCTTGGCTTATAATTCATTTTCTCCTTATAAACCCAAATTATCAGTCTTTATAAATGGCTCTTCTGTCTCCATTGGGTATAATATTTTCTTTCAATTCAACAAAATTATATGCAGATAGATATTTCAAAATTTCATACCCACATTGATAATTCAAGGTGAAATTAAAGAACTTAACTTTTGGTTAGGACAATTGTTAGAAAAATGGAAAACAACAAGAAGATATTTTTAAAGAATATTCAAGCCTTTCTTTTTTATGCCAAGCCAAATCAAAAGAATAACACACTATTTTAGTGTTCATGAAGGTGAGATATTTTTGCTTGGTGACAGAATCACATGTTGGCTTATCACTTCCTTAAAGTCTATGTGTGAAGTATTGTCCTGCAACATTAATATTGCTGTTTTCTTTGTTATCTACGTATCATCACAAAACTGTAATAACTGTTCAACAGTTTTTTTAAAAAATTAATGAAATATAAGCTATAAACTCAAAGTTGAATATCTGCAAACAGATCTTGAAAATAGCATAAAATATTTTGAGCTTTTTATACTTACATATTTGTATTTTTAATATTTGAAGAAAAACTTTGAGAATCATCTTAATGACTTTATTATATTTTATGTCTCAATCCATCCTAACCTCTTATCTTTGCTCCTGATCTCACAAGCCTATATTATAAGAAAGTCTTTGTTCAGTGTTTTTCTTTGGTTGTTTAATTTTTTTAATATAGAAATGTCTATTTTCTTTTTTTTAGGGGCTGCTTTCTTACCTCATCATTGATAGGCACACTTGCACTAAGCCTTACAATACCTCTATCCATAATAGCTGACATGTGTATGCAAAAGGTAAGGAAACTATTATTCATAGATATTTTAGGTATGTTATTAAAACAAACGTAATGAAAGTTGAGATGTGATTAAATTATAAGGATACAAACATAAATAATACTTGATGCTTTCTCTCCCAAGGTGCTTTACTACATAGAAATATAAAAAGTACCAAAGAAATAGATAATTTCCATTTTTAGCTTTTCCATTTTTTTCCCTAAATTTCTAAGTTAAGGGCATCATCTTCATATGTAGTTCTCCAGTTTTAGAGCTGATTCAGTTCCAGATGTTCTTTGGTAAGTCACATTTTATCATATAAGCATTTTATTTTCTGCGATGAACCCTATCACAGGTTCCTTAACACTGTGCTGATACTACCGAAGATATGAGCAGTAGATGAATAATGTTGTTTGCAGTGAATGTTGGCCATCTCTCTCTGGACTCAGCAGAGTGGGTGTCCCATCCCTCTTCTCTGAAGGCCTAGTATGGATGCGGGGATTCTTGTAATAATATTGGCAATGCTAACACCACAGAAAAGAGAATCTGGGATGTTTCTCCCAACAGCCTAGAAGGGAAGAGTTTATTCAGTGCTCCTAGGTGTAGCAGGAAGAACAGAGGTATGCTGTTGCCCACACTGAAAGATGGAGCATAGCCATTTATCACACAGTTCAGTAGATGCAGGCATTTAACTACAACTACTAAGTCATAGAAGTGTGTGTGTGTGTTTTAGTCTAATATGATTTGAAGAGGGAAATATTTCAAGGCCCAAAGGTTTATAATGTATACAAGCAATAGTCAAATTTTTAAAGCTATTTTTCTTTAGGTCTTTGTGCAGTTTTTAAGATAAAAGTGGCTGGGCACCATGGCTCATGCCTGTTATCCCAGCACGTGGGAGGCCAAGGCAGCCGGATCACTTGAGGTCAGGAGTTCGAGACCAGCCTGGCCAACATAGTGAAACCCCGACTCTACTAAAAATACAAAAATTAGCTGGGTATGGTGGTGTGCACCTGTAATTCCAGCTATTTGGGAGGCTGAGGCAGGAGAATCACTTGAACCTGGGAGATGGAGGTTGCAGTGAGCTGAGATCATGCCACTGCACTCCAGCCTGGGCAACAGAACAAGATTCTGTCTCAAAAAAAAAAAAAAGATAAAAGCGAAATATGCTTAGTGCTATATATCCTCTCTATTTATAAAACAATTCTTTACTGATATTTAACTTTGTTTTATGGTTCAGTAAATTCTTATTTATTTGTCATGGTTAAAGAACTGAGTTTCTCTCCTTAATTGAGAATTAATTACCTTACATAACTTGCATTTTCATAGAATGTGGATATTCTATATAACACTAACATTACACATTATTACAAATCATTCTTTTATAGATTTAAGTAATATCTAGGTCCTTCTTCATCTTCAGGTCGTAATCCTGAATATGAACCAAAATGGTTGTGAAACTGGGAAAGTGCTACTTGCTAGAGGATTTTCGTAGACTACTGTGTAAATCATCTTTATTGTACTGATATTTTTAAAACATAAGCTTTCGTAGATTGAAAAAAATTGCAGGTTAATGTTCAGAAATTTTTAAGAGAATAGTCACAGGGGACCTAAATTTATTAAATGATTAGTCATTTAATAATTATCATTACAAATAATAATGGTTATAATTTGTTTAATAAAGTATTTTAGGATAAAGGCAAAACGGGAAAATGTATGTACAAGCAATTAATTATGAAAACATAACTAAACTTTAACTGATTGCCGAGTTCTAGATATGAAGACAATCAAGAAAAAGATCTGGTTTTCTTGATTGTCTTCATATCTAGAACTGGGCAATCAGTTAAAGGAGTAGGCTGTGTGTTGGTGTTGGGATTGAGGTTAGGGAGATTCCATCTGGAAAAAGAAGCAGGGTGTGTCCACAACTGTGACAGAAACATGATAAGAGAAATCTACTTTTATAGGGTTTTAGGTTCACTTAGCTAACTGTATTTATTTATAGCTTCTGAAATGTTAGCATTTATTAACATTATTGTGCTTGAAACAAATTGGTTATTTAAGTCTATTTATAATTATTTTATATAATAGGAAGCATCCCTGATCATATTCTATTTTATATTCAGATATATTTAGGAATTAGAAAACAATTTTTTGTTTACATAGGTCATTTTCTTTGTTGTAATAAGTGGCTTCATTTCTTTTGTCTTAGCTTGTTGGAAATCAAATTAGAAGTTTTTTATTATGAGACAACATATACACAACTACATTGTTGCAAGCGAACTTGCCTTCTAAAGTCTTCTAGGGCTTTATCTGTCTTTATTAAGTTTGCTTTGATTCAGTTATGAAAGAAGGTTTTTAGTTGAATATTCATGAAATCATTCTGTCAACTATAGCTACATTTTTAATTGCATTATTTATAACTTCTTAATACCTTTTCTGATCTTGGGTAATTTAAATACAGCATAGTTTTTCCTGATTATTAGTCATTCTGGCAAATATTCCAGGAATATGTTAAAATATATTGGTAATTTCGTAACTAAATGAAGACTTTTTAGTTTAATGACTATTCTTTCTGGGGTGTTCTCAGGCTGACTCAGTCACCGTGGATGAATACCATACAAATAGGGCCTGCATGTTAAAAATCGCCAGTTGTTATTCTTGTGTTATGCACTGTGAGTTCCCTCATAAAAGACATTATGCTCACAAAACCCCTTTACTCTGACTAATGGTGCTATGAAATGGAATAGTATATGTTTTCCACCAGAGGGAGTCTTGCCTGTGATTCCAGACTTTTTTTTTGGAATTCTCAAAGAGGGCAAACACAGTTTTCCTTCCCTATTTTACAGATAGAAGTTACTATTTTCATCATTTTTTTAAAGCAAACCTCCTGTGTGCTGCACTTAAGTCTCAGTAGCTGATCGGTGTAGGCTTCTTTGACAATTGTTTCTGATCTTTAGTTGAGTCTAGATGGTAAAAGTGAACTAGTGAAAGGGAAGAATTAGTTTTGTTTTGGTAACTTTATGGCATCTCATTATTTTTTATTTTCTTTTTATGTATATATTTGTTTTCTTGTTTATTTTTTTCTTATTTTTTTTCTTTTTGATTTTAATACCTCCACCCTACTTACAGATATTTTTTATTTTCTTGACAACCCTGATCAATGATGGATTGGAGGATCACACTTGCTGACATCAGAGGGCCCTTCGCTGATGAGGCTTGTCTTGTTGCCTGTCTTCTCTGGCTAATATTCCTTAGTAAAAATATTCCTATATTTTTTGCTTTATTTTACTCAGTCATTATTTCATTTTGAGGTTTTTTCATTTATTGCTAGTTTTGAGTGTCATAAATTTGCACTTAATTTGTTTTTGGTACTGTCATAAGAACTGTAGCATACACAGGATAGCACAACTATAAGTTTTTACGAAAATGTACATTTTTTGAAGATGACTGTGGAAATTGAGGAAGAGGGAACTATTTGAGACCAGGCAGCAAACAGTGAAAAAGGAATGAGCAACATGGTGTGCAGGACCAAAGTTTCATACTGTATATCGCTACTCTCAGTGTGCAATGCCTATAAACGGAAAGTATGTTTTTTTGGCTTTCCTTTAGCCTGTTTTCCAAGCAAGAACTATTGTTGTTGGTAATTTAGGTACACGGAATTGTAAGTTGAAGTCTTGAATTCTTTCTTAATAATAATACACTTAATACACCGTCAGTGTTTAATTTTGTCTTCCCGTTGTTCTTATTCCTGCTAGTTGTCACAAATAGAAAACTTACATTGAAGGGGGAAATTGCCTTAATGATAATTGTGGGTGTGTTTTTTCCTCTATCTTTTATTTTTAGGTGCAGTTTTCTTGGTTATTTTTTGCAGGAGCTATCCCTGTATTTTTTTCATTTTTTATTGTAACTCTCCTATGCCATTATAATAATTGGGATCCTGTGATGGTCGGAATCAGAAGAATATTTGCTTTTATATGCAGAAAACATCGAATTCAGAGGTAAGTTTAGTCCCAATACACATTTTTTAAAATAGTGTTTGCTAGATAACTGAGAATTGCATCATGCTGGCCTAGCTTTTAGAGATTTTGTGAGGAATTATTGAAAGATGATAACTTATATGTTATGGCAGATAAAAATAAAATAATTTGTTTAGATCTTTTGGGTAATAAGATTCTTTCTCTTTCTCTCTCTCTTTCCTTTTCTTTCTCTCTTTCTTTCTTCTTCTTTTCTCTTTCTTGACAGAGTCTTGCTCTGTAGTCCAGCCTGGAGTGCAATGGTATGACCTCAGCTCACTGCAACCTCTGCCTCCTGGGTTCAAGTGATTCTCTGCCTCAGCCTCCTGAGTAGCTGGGATCACAGGCACACACCACCATGCCCAGCTAATTTTTGTATTTTTAGTAGAGACAGGGTTTCACCATGTTGGCCAGGCTGGCCTTGAATTCCCGACCACAAGTGATTTGCCTGCCTAATAACTACAATTTTTAAAAAAAGTTTTGATTCACAGGTAATACCAAAAGGTTTACTGTTTTGCCATAACAAACTTAAATATAGAAGACTTTTATTGGTTTGAACATAATTCGTGATAGAATAGTATTGCCTCAATTTTTCTTTCCAATTTCTTTCTATTTAAGAATGAAAGCTTTTTATATTTTGCTATGAAAAGAACTTGATTCCAGTGACTCTGGAGGCTGAGGTGGGAGGATTGCTTGAGGTTAGGAGCTCGAGACCAGCCTGAGCAACATATCAAGACCCTGTCTCTAAGAAAATAAAAAAAAATTACCCAGACATGATGGCATATACCTGTAGTCCCAAGCTACTTGGGAGGCTGAGGTAGGAGGATCACTTGAACCCAGGAATTCAAAGCTGCAGTGAACTATGATAGCACCACTACACTTTAGCATGGGTGACAGAGTGATACCCTGTCTCTTATTTAAAAAACAAAAAGTGAGACCCTATCTCTTATTTAAAAAACAAAAACAAAAACTAACTTGGTACAAGTTCTTGAGAAATTTTATCCTAGTGTTGGTTCTGCCACTGACTTGCATCCTGCCCACATAGCTTCAGCCAATGGAATAAATAAGGTTTAAGGTTCCTTTTCAGCTCTAAAGCTTTCCTTAATTATTGACTTTTTTTTTTTTCTCAAGAGTTCCAGAAGACAGCGAACAGTGTGAGAGTCTCATTTCTATGCACAGTGTTTCTCAGGAGGATGGAGCTAGTTAGCTGTTGTCTGTAGCCCAGGTTTGTATGTGAGCTGGGTTTACTATTGAATATGGTTCTTATTTGTGTAATATTCAAACAAAGGATTGATTTTTTTTTTTTTTTGAGATGGAGTCTCACTGTGTTGCCCAGGCTGGAGTACAGTGGCACAAACTTGGCTCACTGCAAGCTCCGCCTCCCAGGTTCATGCCATTCTCTTGCCTCAGCCTCCTGAGTAGCTGGGACTACAGGCGCCCGCCACCACGCCCGGCTAATTTTTTGTATTTTTAGTAGACATGGGGTTTCACTGTGTTAGCCAGGATGGTCTCGATCTCCTGACCTCGTATCTGCCCGCCTCGGCCTCCCAGAGTGCTGGGATTACAAGCATGAGCCACCGCGCCTGGCCAGGATTGATTTTTATAATTAGTTGTTTGAGAGGCCATACAGCCTTAAAGGCTAAAGGGGCTAAAGCCTGGGCTCCAGTTCTATCTTCTGCACATACTAGCTGTGTGGCCCGATGCAAGATTCTTAATCCCTTGGTGCTCTGGTTTTCTTATTTGTGAAATGGGATTACAATAGAACCTCCCTTATAAGGGTGTTAAAATAGTAAATACTTGGTAAATATAAAGTATATACAATAGTGCCTGACTCAAATGATCAGGAAGTTTTAACTCTTATTTTTATTCATGCTAAGGGTCATTTTATTTAATAATATGCTTTAGAAAAATATTTTTTCTCTGATGATAAAAGTAAGAAAAATGTAATTTTCTGGTGTACAATATACTGGTTGGAAAATACTAGTCTTTTATGTGTGTGTTTTACATAACTGGCACAGTGTATCTCCTCATTCTCTGACATTGCTTTGTCATTTAATAATGCTTCTGGAATATTTTCCCATTTTTTACATTTTAAGAAATAGTGTCTTCTATATGTCTTTGATGGTAGAGTACATGACATTTTGCTGAATGGATGCTTGAATTAAATGCAACATACATATTTTGCAGGTACAAAAGTGATTATTTAGAATGAAAGATCACAATAAACTACTAGAATTCTGAAGATCCAGGCCCCTTTTTCTGAGACATCTTTAGGCAATTTATATTGAAATGTTTCTTGATTGCTACTGAGTTTTCCCTCCCTATCTCTAGAACATTGTACAACTCCTGTCAATTGTTAACACTTATGTTGGGCTTGAAGTTTAAGTTTCATTATCCTCATGGTAAACTTGCTTCTAACCTACGGCTAACAGTCCTGGTTATCTGTTTTTCTTGAGTGGGCTGTTTTTAAATCTAGTTTATACTGCACATGGTTTAAGCTCTAGTTCTCCAAGACTTTTTGTACAAGGCAGCTACCCCTGCCCTTCCCTGCCCTGCCCATCCTGCTTTCATTCTCTTCCCACTCTGAGGAAATTAAACTCTTAGCTGATTCCTTTGGTGTTTTCCTTCTTGTCTCCCTAAGTATCATGCTTATGACTTCTGTTCCATGAGTTCTCAGTTTTAGACATCTTCTGCTGACTTTTCCACTGAGATCAGTGAAGACAGATTATTTTCAACTTTACTCCTCCTCTGCTCCCACCTCACATGCCTCCTATTTCCATATCAGTTCTGCCTCCTCATCATCCCTGTATAGTTATTGCATAATTTTGGATAGATCTGTAGTCAGTGTTTATACTGCTGTCACTAAAAAATTGTTACTTATAACTGAGCCATGTAGGATTTGTCCTGGTATTTCCCTTATGCAGAGATCCTCTGTTACTACCCTTTTTGGAGAATAAACCTTAAAGTCTTCTCCTGGGTTAGAGAAAAGGCACTTGGCCAACTGTGAAAAGTAAGAGAGGGCATCTGAGTGTCTCTCTGCTTTTGCTATAGACATTATACCAGTCTTCCTGTTTGTAGTTGTTTCTTCATCCCTCCTTACAGAGATATCTGGTCCTATTTTTCCATTGCTAACTAAGAGTTGGCTGTTATTTTCTCATTTCTCTACTTTTCTTTTTGTCCGTGTGGTTTATTCCTTTTAAGAAAAAAATTCCAAGCTGGGCACAGTGACTCATGCCTGTAATCCTAGCATTTTGGGAGGCTGAGGAGGGAGGATCACCTGAGCTCAGGAGTTTGAGACTAGCCTGGGCAACATAGTGAGACCTTACTTCTATTGAAAAATATATTTTTTAACCCTTTATTTTCTTTTTAGTGAGGTTTTGGAGAACAAGTGGAACTAAATATGTGTTTATGTGCCATCTTTAAATTTAAAAAAACCATAAACACAATTATAGTAAGTCCTCACTTAACATCATCAATAGGTTCTCATAAACTGTGACTTTCAGCAAAATTACAGCAAAACCATTTTTTTTTTTTTTTCATCAACATTATAATGTAACAACACTGAACAAAACAATGTTATTCGGGGACCTAAAGTCAGTTTCCTAGAACCTGTGACATTAAGTGAGGACTTTGTATTCTTGAAAGCTTTTTAATGTGTAATTTATGCATTATTTTTCTTGGGTATGCTGTGCATTGTTCTCATACTCACACTTAAACCCACCCATATCCAGCAAGGTTTCAGTATTTTTAGAAGTGAGAGCTGGGTAAAGAAGAAAGAGTGAAGACTAAAGAAGATGGATTGCAACAGAGTAGAATAGACTGGGCAAGCGTCTTTGTCTTTGCAGGAGTAATGGTGGAATATACCAGGAGTAAAACTAACTGCTAATACACAATCTCTCGTGTCGATGTCAGCTTTTGACATTGCTATAGAAGTCACATTCATAAGTTCTTAGTACTCCAAATTTGAGTATCCAGTTATTAAGTATGTATACCATGAAAATAGGTATTTCATTTTAAGATAATTTGCTTTTTAAAATGTAAACTGTAGAAAACTAAAACTATGAAATTATAATCTAATCACATTTCTGTGGTTTTTGTTTTTAGCACGATAATGGAACTATACAGCGAAGAGACAATCTCTGGCAAGTTTTTGTAGAAAAAATGTTTCAGTGCCTAGTCTGAAAAATAACAGTTTCAGTTCTTTGAAACTCTAAAATATATTTTTCTCATACCTGTTTTCTTCATTTTCATAATGAAGCACTTTGCTATGTAGCTGTGTACATATCACTACAGTTCTAGGAAGTTCCAGTCTACAGTCCATCCAAAGGACCAACCTGCCTTACACATCTCAAGGAATTCAGCTGTTGAAATCATTTGAACTAATCAAGGAATAAATCCTAATGTTCCGGGACTTTATTTTCACATACTTGTTAAATGCTGGAATATATTATAAAAATGTTTTCAAGAAATCACTTAAGTGTTCATAGACCAGTGTTTCTGACAGGTAAAATGCTAAAATAAGCTACCTGTAGTAAGTATGGATGGTATTTTTGGGTTTTGTTGAATATTGCAAATTAACCACACAAAAAATGTTTAATTTATGCAACAAGCATGTTTGTGCAAATTTCGTGGAACTTTAAAAAGAATAAATATTTGAGAAAATATCTGATTCACTTACACTACATTTACTGTATTATTCTTTTATAGCATTAGGTGCCTTGTATTTTAAATCTGTGACAAACCATGGCAAATTTTTAAAGGGGAAGTATTATTATAAAATGAAGAAATATGTATTTCTAAAGGCTATATTGCTGTAAACTTAATTGATAAAGCTCTGTTTAATTTAGAGTTTTGAAGAAATAGTCTCCCTTCAATTAAGAAATTTTCATAATGGAATGATTTAAATTGAAGTGACAAAGAGTATTATTAAAATACAATGTTTATATGTGTATTTGTGTATTATAGATGTATCAAGTGATTTCTAATTTTTTCTTATATGAATATGCCAGATTACTCTAGAACTAGATGCCTCTTCTTTAAATAATTTTAGTTTTCCTGAATAAATTTGTAATGGTTAAAGTACCAAAGAAGGAAGGCGAGAAGGGATTCTGTTTTTAAAATCACATCTGAACTGTTCCTCTACTAAGATTAAATTAAATGTGAAATACTCGTAATTGCAATTCTTAATCTTAGGCACATGTGCTCACTGTGCACCTGCTCCTGGACTCTATTCACCATAGTACCAGTAAACGTGTGTCCCAGGATTCACAGGCTTTTGATTAATCAATATTCTTTTCAAGTTTTCTGTGAATAGTTTAGTTCTCTTCAAAATTTCTTAACTAATCTGATTTTTAAGAATTCAGTTTGCAGTGTTTAGCTTCCTATTCACATTCTTAAAATTGCTTTGGTGTTACCATGAGTCGAAAATGAAGTTTAGCCTTCCTTCTGCTTCATTCTGAGAACTTCTTTATTACCTTTAAAAATTGTTTATGATATTAAATTTAAAATACAAACAGCTCTCTCTCTCTCTCTCTTTTTTAATCATCCAGCCCAAAGTGGCAAAAACAGCTCTTTTCTCATGTGGCACCACCAATAACGCAAGTTAAAAATAATGTTGAGTTTATTATACTTTTGACCTGTTTAGCTCAACAGGGTGAAGGTATGTAAAGAACGTGGACTTCTGAGGAATTTTCTTTTAAAAAGAACTTAAGGAAGTAACATTTTAATTACTAAAGGACTACTTTTGGTTGAAGTTTATTATCTAGATACCTCTACTTTTTGTTTTTGCTGTTCGATAGTTCACAAAGACCTTCAGCAATTTACAGGGTAAAATAGTTGAAGTAGTGGAGGTGAAACTGAAATTTAAAATTATTCTGTAAATGCGATAGAGAAAGAAGCTGAGCGTAGAATCTTTTGGTTGTTCATGTGCTCTGTGCTCCTCTTATCACACAGGTCATGTGTTGTCACTCAGGATTCTGGAAGTACTAAGCCGTAGTTAACAGGCTGGATAGATCTTCAGGCAATCTTCTTCCAGTATACTGCTGCTTTTCTGTTTCTTAAAACAAAAAGTCAAAGAACAACTTCTTTAGAAGGAAGCACCACCACTCAATTGGTTAACTGAAAGTATGAATCACTGCTGCTTCGCTTGCCCACCTGTTCTCTTTTTCTCACAGGTTTTATTTCTCGGAATGATTGTTGCATTTGAATACTGTAGCCATGGTGAGTGAGCAGTTGAAGACTTCCTTTCTGCACCTTCATAGTTAAGGGTTCATCTTCTCACGAAATAAAGTTGTGCTGGGTTGCTTCAATTCTGTGGATTGCCTGGAAACTAGGTAACAAGGCCCTTAGATCACAACGACCACGTTGCAGGTCTTTGGAAATGCTGGGAAGGGGTTACATTCAAGTAACTGCTGACATCCTTCCTGTCTATCAGAACCATGTTGGCCTGTAATTATATTTTTCTGAATCTAAAAACAAATAGAAATTTCTGGTATCTTTTCAGTCTCCTACTTTTCTTTCTATTCATCACTTAAATCTCATTATTGTATAATGTTTCAAATTATGACCTGGATTGAAGGAAGTCTGTTTTGTCAGAAAGACTTTGTTAGGTGAACATCAGAATCTCAACCAAAACAAAGCTGAAAAATGAGGCAGCCTTAAAAGTGAATGCTTTTGAAATGAGTGCTTTTTGGAGCTTAGGAGAGCCATTAGGTTTATGTAATGCACCCATACTTATTCCTTTAAATAAATTTTAATTTAAAAACATTGAGATATTGGCTTCTGTCAGCCTGATTTAATTAATTCTTTACATTAAGCTGATTTTCCCCCTGGCAGCTGACAAATAAGTTCATTGTTCTTGTAGAAGTGAGCTCACAAGGTTAAATGTGAATGTTCTCACAGGTACACAGCCCTGGTTCAGAAGAATTTTAATGCCCACTTTAAAATCAATCATGCAGAGCCAATTTGGGGTTGCAAGGTATGACTCCTCTGGAAGCCAAGTTTTTTCATAAAGCGCTGTGGTAATACCCATAGCACTAATCCTCAGTGTGCTGGTTGAAGAAATAAAATGTCTTTAAAGAAGGATAAAGGAGAAATTAATTAGAAAATGTTTTTTTCCACATATTAGCAAATAAATGAAATGTTATTTTCATATTAACTATAGTTATGATCTTACTTCATTTCTCCCTCCTCTCCTTTTGAAATATTCTTTATTACTAAATAATATTTTAGGAGGAATTAACAGAAATAATTACCTGTAACATCTGCAGATAAACTTACATAGTTAACATTGTGTGCTGACTTTTTTAAATGGTGAAGTGGCATTAATGAGATGTTCAGTTTACAGAATTTGAAGTTTGAGTTCTATTTTAATAGTCTGTTGTGTCCCCAAAATCCCATTTAGATAAATTGAGGTTCATTTTTCTCATAGACTTGCAATTTTTAGACACCACATTTCCTTTTTTATAGTAACAGCCTCATTTGCCTGTACAATAAGTAATAATACAGTATTTCATAGGTACATTGTATGTGCACAGGAATTTTTTCTTTAAATCTTAAGAGCCTTTAATAAACTGGGGACATTTAAGTATTTTAATGTTACTACATTTAAAAAATAGTGTTTTCCTACAAAAATTTCTGTATTCAGTATACGTTAACTATGAGAATGTCAAACAGTGAAATCATTGAAATATATTTAAGGAGAAATTACCAACCAAAAGTCATGAGTACCTTCTATATGCATATTTACTGGAATGTTCACGTGAAATGCCAGCATCTCCAATAAGAGAATTTTGAGTCAGGGGTGACACAAACATGATTTTTATTTTTGAGCTGGGGATTTTGATGGAGAAGTACCTAGATGAAGACACCATTTCATTCATGATATTTTAAAATTAGAAAAGTAAAGCTTCTAAATTGAAACTCTTATCAGGTCACTTCATGAAATTTTTAGTTTTAAATTTAATTTTACGTGAGATGTCTTTCGGAAGAGCTACTTTTATTAACTTTCACTTAGATCCTTGTGTGCTAGGCATTCCGTATTTTTCTACTTGATTTTCCTGTACCTAGTTTTGATTACAGCAAGTATTTAATAATAAAGTCAGTCATGTGAGAGTATCCATTAATTTCAGTGAGTCCTTGCAAGGCAGGCAGAAGATTTCTTTCCAAGAGTCTTATTTTTGACATGAGGTGAAAATCTTTTTTTTTTTTTTTTGAGATGGGGTCTCACTCTGTCACCCAAGCTGGAGTGCAGTGGCAGGATCTTTCTGCAACCTCCCAAGCTCAAGCCATCCTCCCACCTGAGTCTCCTGAGTAGCTGGGACTACTGGCATGTGCCACCATTCCTGGCTGGTTTTTTGTATTTTTGGTAGAGATGGGGTCTTGCTATATTGTCTAATTTTTGTGTTTTCAGTAGAGATGGGGTTTCACCATGTTGGCCAGGCTGCTCTTGAACTCCTGAGCTCAAGTAATCCACCCGCCCTGGCCTCCCAAAGTGCTGGGATTACAGGTATGAGCCATCATGCCTGACTCAAACCAGTTCTTTAGATTGTTTTTGCTACCATTTACTTACTTGGAATAGTTTTCATATTTATTTTTCTTATGAAGAAATCCAGTATCAATCAGATCATGTAACATCAAAGCAAAATTTCATTGAAGGCTATCCTTGTCTTAATTATTCTAAAATAAAGTACAATAAACTAAATTATTTTGACCTTTGTAGTAGCATAGTGTTGTTTTTTATATATATATATAAAATATATATTTATATATATAAAATATGCATACTCCCAAGTAAAATTTCAGAGACAACATGCTGGAGAGCAGTGACTCTCAGACAGCATCAGTATTACCTGAAGGCCGTGTTAAATACACATTATTGGCAGAGAGGGGAGAACACAGTGACTCATGCCTGTAATTCCAGTGCTTTGGGAGACTGAGGCAGGAGGATCACTTGAGCCCAGAAGTTCAAGATCAGGCTGGGCAATACAGCAAGACCCCTGTCTCTACCAAAACAAAAAAACAGGCATAGTAGTGTATGCCTGTAGTCTGAGCTGCTTGGGAATCTGAGGCAGGAGGATCACTAGAACCCAGGAGTTCGAGGGTGCAGTGAGTTGTTATTGGACCACTGCAGTCCAGCCTGGGTGACAAAGTGAGACCTTGTCTATTAAAAAAACAAAAGCAAAAACTTGATTGCTGGGTGCCACCCTAGAGTTTCTGATTCAGTAGGCCTGGAGGTGGGGGTGGTGGGCCTGGGAATTTGCCTTTCTAACAAGCGTCCAGGGAATGCCCCAGCTGCTGGTCCCAGGACCACACTTTGCAAATTATTACTCTGAGAAGAGCACTAACTTTGACATTGGATTCCTTCTGTTCCTCATTAGTGAATTTATTTGGGGGAGATTATTCAATCTGGTAGATCCGCATTTACTTAGCTGTGAAGTGGGGGTTAATGCAACCTGCCTGGGACTGTGAGAATGAGAAACCCTATTTGAAATACCCAGCCCAGCGTGCCAGCGTGCTTGAAAAATGCTGACTCCCATGGTCCGTCCTCCCCTCACTCTTCTCAGCTATAAAGTGAGGAGCGAAATTCAGTATCTTCTAAGATTCCTCTTAGGTGTAAAATGCTGTGATTCTAAAAGTTTTGTAGTTCCAGAGACAATGCCAAACAGCTATGTGTACTTAGTGCTTTATAAAGAGTAGTAATAACGTGATACCACATAGGCCATAGTTTTGTTTTTGCTTTTGTTAGGGTGTTTAGCATCTTGACTCCTTACAAGTTTTCAATCAGATTTATAAAGCAGCATTGAAGAAGTTGTATTATATTTGAGCACAGTTTGAATCCATGGCAGTTTTATGGAGGCCGAGTATATCAGATGAATAGGCTAATTTCCCTGAGTTGCTGACCTTATTAGTCCCTACCATGTTGCCCCCTGGTTACCTAATGCGTGTTCAAAATGTATGGTTTTCATCACCTGCTTGATTTTGATTTTCAGACAGCATCAAATCAGCTGCAAAACAAATCCAAGCTAAAATTGTGAGCATATGATTAATTTAATATAGCATGTAATTATGTAGTATTTTATTTATTTATTTTTTGAGATGGAGTCTCACTCCCTTGCCCAGGCTGAAGTGCAGTGGCATGATCTCAGCTCACTGTAACCTCTGCCTCCTGGGTTCAAGTGATTCTCCTGCCTCAGCCTCCCTAATAGCTGGGATTACAGGCATGCACCACCACGCCCAGCTAATTTTTTGTATTTATATAGAGACGGGGTTTTACCATGTTGGTCTTGAACTTTTGACCTCAAGTGATCTACCTGCCTTGGTCTCCCAAAGTGCCGGGACTACAGGTGTGAGCCACTGTGCCCAGCTATCCAGTATTTTATTTAAAAGTTGTCACTAGGGTGTTCACTATTGTGAATTTATAATCTTAAAAGTTAGGGATGCTAAAAGTACCAGGCTAAAATACTACTAGGTTTTCTCCTCTTTTAATTCCATTTTGTTAGAAAAAAATAATCACAACCAGGGTTCTTTTGCCTTTCTCCAGCCATCTAGACTGCTTTACTGCAATGTCGGGAAGATTGCATACAATGAAAAGCGTAACTAGTTGATTGGGATTTGGAAAAATTGAATCAAGCATTTGCATTCATCCAGAATGGTCTTAAACTACTGACTAGGGGGTGCCCACAGGATGAGCACTGGTGGTGTGGGTGGGAGGAATTTCCTTGGGTACTGCAATTGCATTTGAAAGATCTATTTTCCAAAACCTGAGCAGAGAGAGGCTAGGAGGAATGCAGACAGGACATTCAAAATGCTAATTTCCTTTACTAGTAGAACATGAAATATCTGATAATGGTTTTTAAAAAATAAGTGCCAGGATTCATTGTAGTATAAAGGTTCAACTAGTGTAATTTAAAATGAGTCTTTATATTCAGGCCAGGCACGGTGGCTCACGCCCTTTAATCCCAGCACTTTAGGAGTCTGAGGCGGGTGGATCACCTGAGATCAGGAGTTCAAAACCAGTCTGGCCAACATGGAGAAACCTCATCTCTACTAAAAATACAAAAAATTAGCCAGGCATGGTGGTGCGCGCCTGTAGTCCCAGATACTTGGGAGGCTGAGGCAGGAGAATCACTTGAACTCAGGAGGCAGAGGTTGCAGTGAGCTGAGATAGCACCACTGTACTCCAGCCTGGGTGACAGAGTGAGACCCTGTTTCAAAAAAATAAAAAAAATAAGAAATAAGTGAGTCTTCATATTCAAATTAGTATATGAGGTTAGACAACCATTCTTATGTGGGACCAGGTATATTTAATTTGCCTTTCTTTGTAGTCATCCTAGTAAATCCTTGTAAAGGGTTGTTTTAAATACAATTTTATAGTATATTCTAAATCCCCTTTGGCAAATAAAGCTGAAGTTATCTAGTGTCAGCATATTGTGATTTGTATACTTACATAAGACAGGATTATATCATTCTGATCAAGTTGCAGCATTTTAA